TGCTTCTCTATTCAACAGCCGATTGGGGAATCTTGTCCTAATGGGACCTCCGGTTAGCAGAGTAGTCTGCTCACAGGAACTGAGGTGATTCGAGGTCCAAGGAGGGAGCGTGAAGCTTAATCACACGTCTAGGATGACAGCTACGTGTCATCTGACCAAACCGCTGACAACAACAGATGTTCCAACAGAGGAACATCAAGGAGGAGAAGTATAGGCACACACATACAACGAAGAAATCCACAAACACTGAGCTAATGTGACACACAATTTCCAGATTAGAGAAGGAACGGGAACTGCTGGGACACTTGATAAACACATATGATAAGAATGTTCAGGATGCAAACATACGCCAACGATATTACAGTAACAGAATTTGAGGATTTTGAGTTCAGAGCGTCTATTCGGTTGCAATGACCAATCATCACCAAGATAAAACTAAGTAGCATTAGACACATTCACTGGGAACATTTGGACAGAAGGAGGGGAGAGAAGTCCACCATTTCATAGAATTGTGCCTATTCAGATAACTACAGCATTGTCTCGGTTGAAAGGCATATATCATAGTAAGAATTGAAAGTAAGAATTGTTTTTAGGAGGCTAGAAGTTCTTGTATGTGTTGTTTCTATTTCACTCCAAACAGAGCTGAGATCATTATTCAATGCAGGTGGATCCACACGACAACAAGTGGAGAGATGGTGTCCATTTATGGAGGGAGAGTAAAATATGAAGGGCAAGGTCTCAACCATTGACCCACTGGTTATGTTCTCCTCCTCAACATGTGTTTTCAACTTGAAGCATCACTGTGGCACCGCCACATATAGAGCAGTTATTCTGTTTGTTGATGTCATCCCTCCAGAAACAAACAGGGATGTGAGCATCACTTGAAAGACACATCCAGAGCTGCCCCTGGGGGTGGGGTGAATATATGTCCTATAGTGTTTTTTTCTTTAGTTTCAGATACCCTGTCCCTATATAATGTGTTGATACGTGTTGAACTCTAAGCGACTGAGACCAGATTCACTAAGAGATCCAGGGGGACATCTTCAGGAGGGTTACCAACAGCAGCCATGTGGGAGAAAGATTGAATAAGGAATTATGTGTTACTAACTACACTGATTCCTCCGGGGAAACTCACGGTTTACCAATGACACTGATGCGGTTAACAGTAGACACAGTTACTGGTAGTTAAGAGCACATCACCAGGAATAAACACCACCAGAGAAAGCCTTAAGAAGAAAGACAGATCTACATTAGTCTGAAGGTCACATAAATAAGCGAAAAGGATGCTAAGAAGGTGCCAAGGAGGGTGCCAGATGATGTTGAATTCCAGAATCAGATCACAGCTGAATTTGTGGACAATAATAAAATGTTGATAGGATGAAACTGCATTTAATGACAGACAGGTGCTACAAATGAAGACCTGCATGAGTCATTGGATGAAATGAGACTCATGGCCTAGAATAATAAAGTGGCTTTAGACATGATGTTAGCTGGAAACGGTAACTTCTGCAAAATGTTTGGATCTGTTTGTTGTGCGATCATCTCCAACAACACAGCTCCTGGTGGCTTGGTGGCCAGAGCACAAGCCCCACTGACAGCTCGAACCAGCAGCTGACAGACAACTAAGGCGACGACAATCCTCTCACCAACGGGTTTGTCAGTATTATAGCACAACGGAAAAGTGCATTCCTGTCTGCGTTAACCCTTCTTATGTTACAGTCATGATCTAGTCCACTACGGATGAAGCTGCATCTCCTGCATCCTTGGATTCCTGCAGGGATTGACCGATATTGTGTTTAGTGAGACTAGTATACAGGGAAATCTGTAGCGAGTAGATGATGAGGGACAATCACTGTTGACGGATGTGACTGTATGATAATTTTTCTGTCTTTGAGGGATGCTCACAGTGAACTGTGAGCAAGGAGGGAATTGTTAGGGATTTAAGCCAGAAGTGCACCCCTAGTCAGGAAATTATAGTACGTGTAATAATGTTTAGTGATAGAATTATAGTTTGTGTGATGTTAGATTAGTTATTACATTAACATGTTAGATGAAGTGAATACAATGTGAATCAAACACAGTATATAGTCTTTTAAAACGTAGAAACACACTACACATTTACATTCTGTTACAATGTGATGTTAAAACCTGGGGACGGATGCCAATTGCCGTTCTTTATGGATTTCTCCCAATTTTATCCCCAAAAAGGGTTTTTTGGGAGTTTTTTCTCCTGTCAGGTAATAAATGAACAACTTATTTCAAGGCAGCCGACTGAGGCAAATGTCTTGAGAATTGAACCACATGAACTGTTTTAGATCTTATGATGAAGTGTGATGAACGGTGATCATTAGTGATGGGTTGTTGTAATGAAAGTGTACTATTATAAGATGAAGACTTAAACGATGTATGCTTTGTTGGGTTCACTCATTGAGGCATAAAGCCACTTTATCTGTATTGAGTGCATTGGAATGTGAGGGACAGCTAGGTCAGAGAGGTTTCAGGTTACGGCTGCAGCTTCACACCTCGACGTGGAAGGGACAATGGAGGAGGTGACCCTTTGGAGAAGAGGCCAATGACATTCAAATGCACCAAAGAAGACACACCTCAAGAGGTTTCAAAGGACCATGGCGGGGAAAAGACTGTTAGATCTTCTCCTGCAGCCGCGTTGATAAGTCACTTTAGACTTGCTCAGAGAATTCTCTATTTCGCGAAATATTCCACTGTTCGCTTAGTATTTCACTTTGTAATTGTAATCCCTATTACGTTGTTCAGTTATTAAATAACTTTTGATTTTTGAATTTAAACGAATTGACTCATTCGTGTCCTCGTTTCCGGCCGGGACGAGAACAAAGGATTGAGTCCTCCCTCGAGAGCTTCCGAAACCTTAACACAAAGCATACTGGACAAGAGTGCTTACTGGCATTTCAACAAAGCTCTCTTAGAGGATACACTTTTTAAGGACGTGTTTAAGGACGTGTTTAAGCGGTGGAACCTCGGACAGCGAGGAAGACATGGAAGAAGGGGGGATGGACTTTAAGGCCCCCCGCCTGAAGAGGAAGACGAGGGCCAACAGGGGAGGCTCTCGGGCAAAGAGGGGGGGGGGCGCAGAGGGAAGGTGGGAGGTGGGGAGTCAGAGTCCTCTTCAGGGTGGGCCTCTGACAACAGCGTCTCCTCAGGTGGGACGGTCACCAGCAGGCACGGGGTGGGGCAGATAAAATCGTTCCTGCTGGCCACCAAGAATCAGAGAGGAGTGGATCTGGAGGACTTCTCCGACTTGGAGAAGTTTGCTCGCTCCGTTCAACATGGCTGCACGAAGAAGGGTGCTACAGAATACACTCAGCGGGAGGTCTTCCGACTACGGAAGATCAACCTCAAGATCACCAGGGAAGGAGGAAATGGGACTGAGTGAGGCGTCTGACCGGCGGAGGAGGATCCTGAGGGGGAAGACGGGCCAGTGTCTAATTACTGTAATTGTTTTTTATGTAAAAGAAAGGTTTTCTAAAAATCAAAAAAAATCTCTCTCTCTCTCATTCACTCAGAGAGAGAAGGGTCTTATGTCCGATAGTCACGTACAGACAAACTCGAATGCTTCCCCACAATTGTTAAAGCCCCACTATCCGTTTGATGTATTGATTGCTGGAATTGACTTTGTTGATATTGTTGTGTTCAAAAATGAAGAAACGCCGGAAGGACAGAGGTCATCGCAGATCAAAAAGTTAAAATCAAATGTATTTAATAAAGGAGATGGCGTTGCGGTAAAAAGAACATCTCAGCTGAGGAGCCGCTGGTCTCAGCAACCAACAGGCCCCAGGGCCGTCCTTTTGACCATCCCTAGTGCCCGTCTGTCGCCTCCACCAGCGAACTCGAGAACAATGGTTCCTACAGGTATTTATAACAATGTTTAAAGGTGTGAAAGTTAGTGTCCACACCTCTGGCAGTGGTCTTCTGGTGAGTTCAATGTAACTCGGATTTCGAATGATCCTTAGTCAATATCAGTTGTTGTGCAAATATTACATGCATGCATTCCAGTTGATTACATTACATCAAATACAATCATAACTGCATTGGTATTATTCTATTACAGTTGCAGAATTACAGTGGTTTTACAATATTGTCATTACTTTATTGATTACAGTTTCAGAATCATGGCTGTATTCTGGTGTACACTATATGCATTTTTATTAATTTTATGAACCGGGTCGTATATTTGTTTCTAATATCCTACAATATCCAAAGGACATCTTCAAGCAACATTCAAATAGAATTGTATTCACTACCTCCTCAATCATCTCACAGATTAAATATGTGTAGAATTACTCAACAGATCTTTACACTGATACAGAGTTATTCAATAATGGATAAAACTCAATGCGGCAGAACCAGAGAGATTTATTTTTTTACATTCTGCTTCATTCCCACAAACACCCAAAATCAGATACAATAAGTTCTTAGAGAAATCAGTCATAAATCAGTTGTGTGACTTTCTACATAACAATGGTTTGTTCAAGTCAGGATTTTGAGTGCATCATTGCACAGAAACTGCACTGGAGAAAATTACAAATGATCTTACTTGCATCAGACCAACCCTTTTGTTACATTTTCTGCAGTACAAGTGTATTCATTTCGATGCGTTAAGTACATTTATCTGAACACTGTTTATTGCAACGTGATCTCCAAAACCTGTTCGTAAAACACACGACTAACTGGCGTACATACTAACTGGCGTGGTTAACCACGCCCCTTGAGTGAACGTCTCTCCGCCATGTTGGATTCTTGAGTGAACGCCTCTCCGCCATGTTGGATTTTTTGAGGGGGTTAGGGTTAGTATTGTATTCTTACAATTTAACATTGATTTCTCGTTAAAAATGCAATCATAACAGGTTTATTTTACATCGTTAGACTTCACGAAGTGTGTTTACGGGGTGCAGGTCCGTCCCCATTCACTTTGAATAGGGTGACATCATCAGTTGCCAGTCCGTATTTATTTAGTATGTATCACTACGATCTTCAAGATTTTCGTATACATTTTTACGAACAGGTTTTGAAGTTATATTCCTTATAATTTCCTGTGCGGTTGAATTGGTTACGCTCATTGTTACTGGTGGTAACCCCACAACTAATAACAAAAATTACATTGAATGAGCGTATTGAAAAAATTAGCCCAATTGGAGTCTGATTTAATGTCAATCGTAAGGATTTTATTGCAGTGCCGTCACTTGGAATTTGAGATTTTGCATTGTAATATTGTTTTTACAATTTACTTTTACTTAAGTAAAATACCTTAGTTCTGCTTTGACCATTGGCATTACACTTAAAATCATTAAATTAAATATCAAAGGAAAAGTGATAATGCGGTGAAGAGGACCCAAATCCGTCCGCTGCTTATCAGACAAGATTTAGATTTAGATGTACCCTGTTGTCCAAGGGAAGCTCCATAGCTGTTTCTGGCTCACGAGACCAAGATATTGAGGATGCTTATTGGATGTGTTTTATGTCTTTCTGTTGCTGCCTCCGACTGCATCACCCAGCCCTCATTCTTTGATCATTGTGTTGTTTCTTTGAGGACTGCTAGCTGATCTCCAGCAGATTTGTGTTGATATGGTAGCATATGTAGGAGAAGTATTCATGCTGACAGAGTTCTGGGATGTCACAGCTTGCCTGCTTGGCAGAAGGAGACAGAGAAACACAGAAAACACAGGTTGAACCAGTTAAAAACCAACATTGTATTGCAGCGCTGTTTGTCCGTGCACCATTCTGATCAAGGTCTTTATCCAGGCTCTATGTCTTCTGTGGACAACCTCCAATGGGAGCGAACCTCAGATTAACATGCACCATAGTTATCTTGGCCTTATTTTTTGTGCAGGAATGAGCCTGCAGTAGCATTTCACCTTTCATTGTGGTCTGCCAAGGCCATGGATGACTTTGTGTGCAACGGGTGACATTTCAAGTATGCTGAACAGTAGATGGTTGATGGTGCTTTCCTTCCACTTTCCAGTGGTGGATTCAAGTTCTACAGAATTACAGAAAAATCCCGACCGTTTCACAGAAACACGGGTGACCGTTAATTGGTGACGCTCAGCTACATGCGTCCGATGGCAAACTTTGAAGTGATAAGAGAAGCTGGCCTCTTACATGTGCCTTGCTGGTGGAAGCAGTGGGCTCCAGGTGTATAAACAGTGAGGCGAGTTCCTCTTTCAGCTTTTTCGAACGCTTCTTGTCGGTGTGCAGCACAAGAGCTTGGTAGCTCACGGGTATTCCATACCTAGCAGGACACAACTTGTGAGTCTACTCACAAAGCAAACGAATCATATGCCACATTTGAGAGGAAACCACTTGGACTGACCTGAGGACTGATTCCACAAACACCCTCAGTGCTTTCAAGTGAATCCATGCAAGAAACACCCCGCTGAAATTCACCTTCAGCCAATGAACAAAGATTCCCTATGAAAGAGGCATTGACTTTTAGAATATACAACAAACAAGCACACAAATGGAAAAAACTCATACAACAATGTATGAGATCGGACTCACGTATTGCTCCTTCTTGTGGACGATGTGCTGCATCGTCTCCTGCTGCTCCTTCGCCTCCACATCAAAGCTGTACTCATGCACGTTGAAGCTGTGTGGATCATAGGCTACACTATGATAATTGACACCTGCAACATAACTTTGACTTAGTGGGCAATTTTCCGTGAATCCGGCCCCGCTTACTTGCTCTCCTGGGCTTTGACTTTGAATTCACACACGGACCTTTTGAACAGTATGACGGAGAAAATGCCTCCCTCTCCGTCCTGGTGAAGCTTCCTGATGGTCACACAAAATACAGAACATTTGAGCGCCATGTGTCAACATGCAGCAAAAGATCACAGGGAAAGTAAGGCAACAGTGTGACGCACTGGAGTCTGCACTGGGATTAAAAACTAGATATTGTGCATTGTGAAGCTGAAATAGTGTTAAATAGAAGCTTAAATAAGTGTTTAAAACTTGAGGACATCGATGCTAACATGCTTGTTTAATACTTTGGTGTCTAATGACATTGCCATCTGTGGTTCAGCTCCAATCAGCAAAATTGGCAAGCGAACAAACTAAACTAAGCAGTAGCGCCAAGATTTAAAAGTGGCAAACATTAGCATTGTCTTCTTAGCATTCTGACATCTCTGTCTTGTTGTTTCGGGGCCAGTGTGGAGCATTCTGGGGGATCTATAAGGGAATATAATAGTCACAGCTATGGCTAATGTTCTTAGTCTTAGGAGGTATAACCTCCTAAGACTAAGAACATTAGCTTAGGATAAGCCCTTCAGAATTGTTGGCGTTTTCATTAGACTTGGTAAATTCACTAAAAAAAGGCAATCTTTCAGCTAGCATGTCGTTAACCATTGGAAACTAGTACCGGTAAGTATTATACAGTCATTGTTTTTGTCACTTAGATGTTTACTGAAGTGGTTATTTTAAACCTAATGATGATCTATTTTCTAAAGTTAAATAGGTGTCCTGTGAAAAGGCCCCAGTAGCAGAAACTGACACTTAGGCTTTTGTAGGAAAACGCACAAAAAAGGAGAGAATTTTATTTTATTAAGTTAAATATTTCTGTGTTCAATTGCTATGGGCAATGTGAGTTTTGGCTGCAATGACAGAACTCCCATGATGTCATAAGTTGCAGTAGGTGTAAGCACTAATATTAATACTTGTATATGTTACATTTCACTCTTTCACTGTTATTTGTGTATTATGCCCAATAAAGAGGTTTAGTGTTGTCATGTATATCTTTTCAAAGGACACTGACACAAACCAATATTTATGGAAACGTTAACCTTATGTGGACATACAGTCTCTTCTCTGTTTTTTGACTTTGTGTTTTTACAATCTGAAAACTGTGGCAAATTGTGGGTTGACAGCTCTCATAGTTCTCTAATGTCAGTCTACAAAGTGCTTCATCGTCTTGTACGGTGTAATCAGGTTTCATAAATCATTGAAATATCTAAAAGTTTGATTGAATACTTACGTTCCCATGCCCCCCCCCCCCCTCCCAGCCGCACAGACTCTTTCTGCTGGTAGTTGAACACCTGTACCTAGCCTGACCTTTTGGATGCTGAATAACAGGCACTCTGAGCTTTGCTTGAGCACTTCTACAAGAATCAAGTGGACCGCTCACCTGCTGGACCGTGGAACCACAAACTCCGAGAAAGACTCATAGGTCCTCTCCCACTGCAGGAATCTCCTTCTGTGAGATAAAAACACACACACGCAAACATTCGCTAACCACCATCAAATTCCGTTAGGATAACCTTCAGTGTGTCGCCCACCTGCTCACCACGACCAGTAGAGTTGTGAGGTACTCTGAAACCACCAGATCTTCCCTCTTCACTATGTCATTCAGACTGCGACTTTGCAAATCCCCCCTGTAAACACACACTGTCCAGTTGATCAGTTCACACTTGAAACGTTAAAGGTCTTTTGTAATCAATGCATCACTCACTTCAGTCTGCGCTCCAGGGTGGTTTTAACAATATTGTACGCCGCCGCATGAGATTTTAACTCCTCCTCCATCTGGGACACCTCCTGACACATGAACATAAGGGGGACCACGTTGTTACCTGAAAACTGGTGTGAGAACTCATGCTATGTTGTTCTCACACCAGTAGTGTAGAGCAAAGATATGACTCACATCACATTCATTTACCCTTGTGATGTCATTAGGGTTATTGATTGATGTTTGAGACAACCAAATTCTAAAAGATGATAACTCCTGTTTTACAAACTGATCCACTGTGTGGATTGTTTAGGATGTCGGCATTTTTAAAAAGGTTTGGCTCTGATTAGATTTAAGCCATTTTTTTTTAAAACACAGTGAAATGGTCCAGCATTTTCATATTTGTAATCCTGCAGACCTGTGTTAATTGTCCAAGTTAAATCCTTTTTATTTATATAGCCCAATATCACAAAAAGGAGACACCCACCTAGAAAAATGTCAATCTTTTTTTTATATGCTGAATATTTAACAGTGCTGCAGAAATGCGTCGCGCTTTAGTCTTTTCCACTTCCTGTTCTCTAAAAGTTGAGTTCTTCAATTTGCTTTTGGTTAAGCTAAATCGATTTTAATGATTTGTTTATATGGCAAGAAAAAACATGCTTTTACTTGAAAAAGACAGTTGCTAAAATGTAGCTAAATGAAACAACAGAACTTCATTCCACCAAACACTCCACCTTCACAGAAATTTGTGTGTGTACTCACACTCATGAGACGACGATAAATAAAAGAGCAGAATGCATTACTTTACTTAAGCGTACTGGATCCACTCTTTCCCTTCTTACCTTTCATAATAAAAGTCTTAAAATGCAATGACAAATATCTTGAGTGTTAACCTCCTTTGAACGAGTCAGTACCTTGTTGATGATTTCTGTCAGGCTGCACAGAGGCAGAGCTGTGGGATACTTGGCTTTGTCCCACTGAAACCCTGTCACGTAGCTCATCAGGTCGACTGAGAAACACACAACAAATCACAACCAAAACCTCCCAAAAATTCGCAAATGTAATCGCACACACAACCAAACGTTAGGAGCTCCGTTGAGAAAACACACATTCAAAACTTCTGCAAGAAAGCACACTTCAGGCAAGGCACTGTACTCTAGCAGATGCAAAAGAACAATACCCGTTAGAGACTGGAGGTAAGATTTCAGGGGCGAGACGACCGCTGACTGACTCATGCCGTGGTCTGATGGGGAAATGGATCACAGGCACGGGTTAGTCAGAGTGAAGCATGTGTCTCTGGATGTGTGTTTTTACACAGGCATGCAGCTCCCAGTCTCATCCACAGCGTCCCCGTGACCTGGGGCTTCTCTGTGCGCTTAGATAGATGTATTCATCGCCAGGAGGAAATGTGTGTGTAACAGCAGCAGGTAAGGTTACATACTAAACGTATGGTATACAGTAACTGTTATATACCATGTGGAATTAAAAATACAATATAATAATATATAATAAAATAACAGAGCAGAACACATACAATTCAACTTAAGAATTAATTAGAAATAATGTATGTGTGTACATAGGTACAGTGTATTTGAATAGCTATTTGTATCTACATTTATATATACATATATTATAGGTACTTGATGCGTTTCTATGAGATGAACCCCCTCAGCTGATGTGTTTGTGTGTGACTCACCTCCATTGGCTAAGGTGCTTTCCTGCACTTTGTCAGCAGTGTGCTCCATCACCTCCTTCATACACTGAAGGGTTTTTTTAATCACACTGACCAACAGGAAAGAAATGCCGTTACTACAGAGGCTATCTTGTCACTTTTATATTCAGATATGAGTTCAATCATCTTCAACCAAGGATTTGTTTATCCAAATAAGGACCTCCAGTTGAGGAGAGTTCCTGTATTTCTTTTTTTTTACTTTTCAGTCAGTGCGTCGAGCTTGGAGAGGTCATCTGACACGCTGAACAGACTGTCCAGTATTCCCACCTGGGTTCACAGCAGAAACAGTACAGGCAGTGTTAGTGTGCCCGATTTGTCGTGGATTTCATATAGAGAGCACATTAGCTTCTAAGATTCAGCCTCACATGTTCACATTTAAAACCAAAATTCCCGGTACTTTAAACCCTTTTTTTAAAGGGGACGTATCCTCAAAAACTAATCTTGAGTCTCTCCTCCCACGCCACACGGAGGGGGAATACTATAGTATATTCAAATGGATAGTTGGAGAAAAAGAATGTGTTTTTTATTACAATAAAGCGTGTGAAAATGTTTGAGTAGAAACACGAGAATGTTCCTGAAAATTAAGCGCAATATTCCCCCTTTGAGATTCCTGGCAGACAAGGTGAACGTGGATCAGGTGAAATGGGTCAGATGGAAATTTTGCCTCAAACTGTAGGGAGCAACCTGAGCCTTCATCTCTTCACCAGAGAAGGACACCAAACACCGTCCTCCTCCTCAACTGCACTGCAGTGCACCCCAATAAACAGAGCTAGCACTCACATACAACTCGACTCGCTCTGTATTCTTTACCCTGCTCCTCTCACAGCCCAAGAACGGAGACCCTTTTCCCATCCAGTCTTTATGGACATGTTGTATCTGTATCCTCAGGCTCTTCATAAGAACAGACAACACACTGCCTCACCTTGAGATCTGGAATAGAGAACTTGAAGCATGAGGCCCGGTTGTTTTTGGCAAGGATGCGCTTGAGTTTGTCCACATTGGTTAAACTGGTCTTGTCCAGAGGGACGGAAACCAACCATAACTCCGTCATGACTTCCACCGACTCTCAAAGAGATATTCCAGTCAAAATCTTCCCCACAAGAGCCGGCGTTTGGCATCAAACGACTGTGACCCATAGCAAACAAACATTCAGTGCATCATCATAAGCTGACTTTGTAAAACTACATTTACATTTTCTTGATTTCATACTCTTCCTGTTTCCAGAAGACATTCTGGATCATATTAACAGTTGTTATGTCGGTACTACTTGAAGTCAATTAAAAGAAAATACAAAATGAAAAGAAGCAAGCTTTCAAAGCCGCAACTCTTACCGTCTGGTCTTTTTCACGATCGTGCTGTGCCGGCTCCACTGTGTTGTGGTGTTGGAAAGTGTGAGCAGCCGCTCCACCTGAGACATACTGAGAGCCAGCCCACTATCTTCTAGGATCACATGAAACTGTTACATGACTCCAGGTGATTTGAAATAATAAGAGGCATTTTACTTTTTTTATAAATACTGTAGCATTTACACATGGAACTAGCATGAATGATGAATGAAAAAAAGGCATCATCAATAGAGCTCTGACATCACGATTCACCATGACAATAGCTAGATAAAAGGCAAAGCCTCTATTTTAAATTATAAGAAGAATGAAAATGTAAAAATAATGATAACAAATTAAGGCAATATATGGGATCTGCACATTTATCTTTTGAGAAAACAGGGAAGGAAAAGTGGGAATAAGCTATCACAATATGTTTTGTTCAGTGTTGTTATCCAATAATTCACCATTTACAACATTTTTCCTTAATGGACTTTTTTTTCTCTCTCTTAAATCATAATCACGGAGGCCCTAAATTCCTGAAAAGGGACACACAAGGTGTTGACATGCAATTAATAGACAATATAAAACTCTAACGTGTTTATTCAATTATTAATATTCACATTTGTTTTATTGTTTAGATTTATTTTGGAATATTATTTTAAATTACATGCAAACATCGTCTTCGGGACCTTAGGCCTCCATACCTTGGATTCGGGAGAAGAGAGGAGGGGGGAATCCAGTTCAGGCAGTGTGTGTTCTACACGGACCAATTTCGGAGAACTCCTCCTCACTTCCTGTTTTCACTCCGAAGCAACAACGTGGATACAGTGCTGTTCGCCGGTGTGCGGTATCTGTGTTATGTGTGACCAGAGTCTCGTTGGCCCCCACAATGCAGATATCCAGCGTGAATGACGTGAAAATTTACAATTTAAGCCACGGAAAGTCCCTTCCAGAGGTAAGAGCAGCGGCTACATCCTGACGCACGCGAACGTTAAGCAGTCTTTAGAAGTCCCTGCTTACATTGAGGCTAGCTAGCTAGCTAACACAGCTAGCCGTGACAAGAGTTGTCCTGACATTGTGTTTTGAAAATAACCTATCAATATTAAAGTATATTTAGCGACACACCACCTTGATAGAAAGTGTCAGTAAATGAGCACAGGGGGAATATCATTTGAGACTCAATATATTTTGCACCCTCAGTAGTAATAGTACAGAAGTGTTGACTTACATTAAAATAGTCCACCATGGGTAAGATATCAAAGTATTGCTGTATCTAAGCAGTGTTACACTGGTCAGGTTTTATGCATAATCTCATAATCTCTTCCTCTTCACTGCAGTGGCTGTCCGATCGTAAGAAGAGGCAGTTACAAAAACAAGATGTTGGTGAGTTGAGTACTACAGCTTCAGCATCCCACACTGCAAGAGAATGCATTTCAACTGGCCTGGCTTGTCTTCTCCTTGTTTTTTTTAGACATCCAGCGCAGGATTGAGCTCATCCAGGACTTTGAGATGCCCACAGTGTGCACCTCTATCAAAGTGTCCAGGGACGGTCAGTTCATCCTAGCAGCAGGTGAGACGGACACAGTGCAGCAAATCTGCCGTTTGAGTGAGACGCACGTCTGATCATGATCAGTTGTGAACTGGCCGCCATGAACATTCTTTCCATTCATTTCAGGCACTTACAAACCCAGGGTCCGCTGCTACGACACTTACCAGTTGTCCCTGAAGTTTGAGCGCTGTCTTGATTCAGATGGTAAGTTAGTAGACACACTCATTGGATGTACACTATTGCTCTTCATCAATGGCTAATTTGTGCTCTTGCTCTCTCTCTCTCTTTCTCTCTCAGTTGTGGCTTTTGACATTCTATCGGATGACTACTCTAAGGTAAGACACTTTTAACGGCTGACTTAGGAACAGTTTGTTTTCATGTTCACGCTCAACACTGCGCTGTCTTCGATTTATAATGGTGTGTGGAGTTATTATCACTATTCCAAGTCTGTAGGTTTTTTTGTTAAATATCAAAAGGCCTCCCAAATACTTAAAATATGTGCATCTAAACTGTAAACTTCTCACTGTGTTCCTTTTACCTTGGAGAAAAACATTGTAGCAGTATACAGTTTTCCCGAAAACAGAAATGTTACTGGTTAGAGTAAAGATTCAGATTTAACTTACGAAATATAACAATTAGAATATAATGCTTTATTATTCATCGAAGGGTAGAAACTCAACTTCAGTACATCGTGCTGAGGAGGCCTCTCTTTCACTTTTTACATCAAGGTAATGTTTGAATGCAGGACCTTTACTGTGCAGCATTACTGGTTTGCCTTGAAGTAGTTCATAGTTTACTTTGGACTCATTCTTGAATACTTCTCTGAATAGTAAAGTCAGAAAAAGCCTAAAACAATAAATCTGCCCCCGACAAAAACATCCAATTTGTGCTTTCCCTCAGCCTCTGGATATGCTTTCAATATAGTTATGTTACTTAACTGTCAAAATGGGATGCAATTAAAAGTTCAAGTGAATCGCCTGTTTGGGTACACTTGCATTAACATTCCCCTTGTGTCACAGTTGGTGTTTCTGCACGCTGACCGCTATGTGGAGTTCCACTCCCAACACGGAAACTACTACAAGACGCGCATTCCCAAGTTTGGGCGGGACTTTTCGTACCACTACCCCTCCTGTGACCTCTATTTTGTAGGCTCGACGTGAGTTTGAGGGAACTTTGTTGTTCTGGCATGCTTTCATGTTGGTCCTGCCCATGTCGGGCGACAGCGCTCAGCCTTTTCCCTTTTCAGTTCTCAGGTGTTCAGGCTGAATCTGGAACAAGGGCGCTTCCTCAACTCCCTTCAGACAGATGCTGTGTGAGTATAACAATGGCCATGACTGTTTATGTACAGCGGTGAGCCAATGATGGCTAACTCCTGGTTCCGCCGAGGGAAATATGATATAATAACAATTTACATCGACGATGCGGCCTGACGAACTTGTGAGCTCGTCGTCGGTGTCCTCGGCTGATGCTCACGGGCCCTTTTTCTTTTTCTCTTCTCAGGGAAAACAATGTGTGTGACATCAACCCCGTCCATCACCTGTTTGCTACAGGAACCTCTGAGGTAAGTGCTATGACAGGATGTGTGTGAAATGAGGCCCTAGTTATAAGTTAATCAGATGCTAGTTTGTTCAGCTCATTTATGCTACACATCAACATGTAATGCAATGCAATGCGTGATCTTGCTTCCTGTCCAAGATGTTCTTCTTTTACAGGATTTCTTTCTTTATTTTCCTAGATTTTGAAGTTTTGTTGTTTTAAAGGGGGCTTAATCCGAGCAAACCCGACGAAAATGACGCCCATACAGTATCAGACGATCTGGGTTAATTTAGAACAATTCGATTCGGTGACTTAGAATCAATTCAGTAACTTTACTCAACAGTGCAGGCAAAGTTTCTGAGATCCCTGTTGTTTCTTGTAAGGAAATCAGGTTTAAATGAATTATGGATATTATAAACAAGCAAACAACCATTTTCAATGTAAACATTACACAATAATTACACAATGTTTGGACCAATTCACAAAACCCCCGGATTTTCATCCACATTGTAGGGTCGCATGTCTTTACAGCTAAACTTGGCAATTGTTACTAGGGGTGGGATTTTTCGATTTCTCTCTAGAACGATTCGGTCTCGATTCAGAAAAGTTAATAATCGGAATTTTAAAAAAAGTCTGTCTCGCGCGTGAACTTCCCCGCTCGCGGAGCGTGAACTTTCTCGCTCGCAGGGTTAGTCTCTGCTCGCGCTCGAGCAAGCAACGCAAGCCTCCCCGCAGCGCACAAGGCTGCGATTGGTCTGCTAACTACGTCCTTACGGAGTCTCACATTTCTGCTTTCATAGCCCGATACCTCCATTATTAAAACAAAGAATGTTTACGAGAGAACGGATCAGATTGAAGAACTTTTGTCGGAAGAAATATGACCGCTTATACAAGCTGTCATTGGCGGGTTGTAGAAGCGGGTTGGATTCACGGAGGGAGATCGCCGGTTTGCCGGTCGAGAGGTGCACAAAGTTGTGGAGGAAAATGCGGGACAAATGTGTCCGCGATGAAAAGCAGCAGTGGCGATGCACGGGACAATACAGTCTATGATAAAAAAATAAACAAATAAATAAATAGACGTGACTCTCTAGGTCGTCTTCAACAAAAACACGTTACTCCGCCTGTTGTTCTGCTCTGCAACACACGCAGAACCATGAATTGAAACAAGTGCGTCGACACAACGACGCAGAAGCATGCGCCGGCCTTAATTGTTACTGTGATGTTGAGTTTCGTGCTGGCGGGGTCTGAGGTGTCTGCAGAGCTGGAGTTACCTTCTGCTGCAGCGGTAACGCTGCTAGAGGTCCTGGACTGTCGCCGTTTTGTTTAATCCCATGGCGCCTTAGTAGATGGCTGGAAAGATTAGTTGTGTTTCCGTGTTTTTTTTTATTTGTCTTCTACATATTCTACAAACAGCGACCGACTTATTTAGAACACCTCCGTGTTTGCAAAAGCCAAAATGTTTCCACACGCTGGATCGATAAGTTGGTTTGTAAATGTCTTGCTCGCAGTCATCTCCTCCTGTGTTTTGTTGTTGTTCAGAGTTTCGCGCGGCTGCCGCTGCGTACTGATGACGTCACAGACGGGCAGACTGAATCGAGTAACGTTTAACGTGTCTAAAGTGCTAAAAAACAAACTAACAAACACACATCCATACAGTTTTTGTGCTTAAATCCAATGTGCAGTTTCCAAGTATCGATACAAATCGTTACACCCCTAGTATACATAGTTTCTAATGGTCGCTCTTTTCCTCATTTCTTTCTCTGGTACATATATGTGGTATGTATATATTTGGTCACATACCAAATAAGTGTGTCACATAATTTCTCAGTGTTGAAGTGTTTCAAACCGATACCTCTCACTGACTTAAGAAGTTCCCCATTGCAGCCTTTTTTATTGGTGTTAAAAATAATCCCAGTTGGTTAACTCAGTTATTTTCTCCCGCATTTGTCTGACATGTCTCGTGTTGGACCGTCAGGGCCGGGTGGAATGCTGGGACCCTCGCGTCCGGAACCGAGTGGGCACGCTGGACTGCGCCCTCAGCAGCCTCGCAGAGGGAGCAGAGTACGTAGCAGGCCGACACACGCAGACACGTTCCCACATGTCCAGCACTGATGTCAGCGTGACTGCGCATACGTGGCCACATGGCCACACTTTTGTCCCATGGTGTATATCTGTAGCAATAGCCTCCTTTGCTTTGCGGCCTTGACCGTTACGTCACATTTTCTCTTTGTTTTTCGCTGGTGTAAATATTTCTCGTGTTTTTTCCTCGCCAGAGTGCAAAGCTTGCCCTCGATCAGCGCGCTGAAGTTCAATGGCTCCCTCACCATGGCAGTGGGCACCAGCACGGGACAGGTGAGCGCCAACTGAGTCTTCACGTGGACACCAGTCCTGTTGGGCTGCCTGTCACAGCGCTCTGTAACATGTTGTGAACTATCGCAAAGAAGCGGCCAACAAATACAGATTCTTGCTCCCTTGTGGTTTTTCACATGTTATGTGATGGTGAATTTAAAAAACGGGGCCTATTTCCTGGTTGCGCCGGTACTACTGGTGATAAAATGTCTAAATAGCCGAGGTGTGGAGTTTGAGACGATACGTTTGTTTGTCCTGCACACATTCAGAAGCCCATCTTCTCATCCCGCCTTGCTTCTTTGTCTCGTAGGTGCTGCTCTATGACCTGCGCGCCAGCCAGCCGCTGCTGGTCAGAGACCACAACTACAACCTGCCAATCAAGTCACTCAACTTCCACGACCAGCTGGACCTGGTTGTGTCCGCTGACGCAAAAATCATAAAGATGTGGAATAAGGACACAGTAAGCCTCCAACCGACTCGTGACCCACGAGAATGATGATGTGTTCAGGGTTCTTTTTATATATCATTCATTTCTTCACCACAGGGCAAGGCTTTCTCCTCCATCCAGCCTCAGACCAACATCAACGATGTCTGCGTCTACCCCAACTCAGGTGAGAAGAACCTTCCACACAGGGTCATGACAAAAGTTAAGCTGCATTGGTCCCACACAGCCACGTGCCAGAGCAGCAGAACAACGGGAGATTCATAGAAAAGTAAAAGGAGTGATGTTGGTTTGAAGAAAAGTTGGTTTGTGGGGTTACACCCGCCTTTGACCTCTGGGTGGCGCCATCTCGCAGCCGAGTTCTGTCTTGTGTCAGTGTCAAGAGACATAGAAGGTGAACTCTCGCATACAAATTGAAATTATTTTTAAATCCTCCAAAATCGTGATTTTTTTTTTCTCAACCAGGTCCTATCCTGATTGTCGTTTTATTCTAAGACTCTTTTTGATGAGGTTTCAACCTTAAAGAGGTTCTACTTTTATAATGGCAGATACATATTAATTTGTTTGATGATAGCATCCTTTTACTTCTGCTAGTTCTTTTTTTTAATTAAAATTCAAATGCTAATGCAATCAGATTTTTTTTAGTTGATTAAAACACACTTGTAGTTTAATGATGTATTATTATTATTTAGCTGATTTGTACAGCTCAAAATTCCACTTAGGCTGTTGTGTGAACTTCAAGTCTCTTAAAAATGCTACATTTTTAGAGATGTCGTCACATCATTATAATAATTGACCTTTGCCCAATACTTATTTTCACGGAATACAAGCTTCAACGCATCATAATGAGACCGAAGTAAACCGTCGCTAGCAGCGACTGGCTCTCCTTCTCTTAACTTAAATGGCCATTGGTTGTTCACGATGTGATCAGCCCATAGACGTCCTGATCTGATTGTTGGACACTGTTATCTGACTATCAGCAGATAACAGTGTCCAACACTTTATTCTGTTTATTTTACACCGTGGTGGTTGGTGTTAAGCTGTTTGAATAATCAGTGGTTCACATTTACGTGCAGGTCAAAAGTGGTCCCTTACACCACTAATACACACTACTTGGCTTTACTTGCATCTTAAGTGTCACGCCTAGCCTGAGACGGTTCATGTGGAAGTGTTACATTTTAAAGTCTTTACTAGCCTTTTGCCCTGTTGTGTGTCTACAAAAAACGTTGCAAAGTTTCCTCTTTAAATGCAATTTGGCCTTCACACACACACATACACACACACACACACACTCTACTGGAACTAAATCTGGAGATGAGCTCAATTTCTCTGGAACCTGTTTTCCTTTCTCACATTGTTTTGCCTGCATCCTGTGTCTCGTTGTCAGGTATGCTCTTCACCGCCAATGAGGATCCCAAGATGAACACATTCTACGTGCCGGTGAGTGCACGCGCATTTACACTCCTCATCTACGCTGCACACCCCAGCCACGAGGGGACAAAATACGTTAATTGGTGTGCTTTCGCTCGGAATAAGCAACAACAACAAAAGTTTAGACCAAGGCACGGACAAGCTTGTTAAAGTTGCCAGAAAGAGTCCACACGCCAGATAATGTTGCAATGAGTCTGTCTTTACTGTCAACTACACTTTTTTCGTGTCAATGAGAACTTTCCAGACGGGACGGACACAGATTTGCTGAGCCATTAATGCCTGTCGTGCATTATAGACACGTTACAGAGGCGAGGTTCCTTCGATGGCCTTGATTGAAACAGGCTTTTCACACTTTCTTAATTGATCAATGCAATGGAATTGGTCAAACAATGAATTGATGACATGGCAGCCCTTGTTGGCTCAGAGGATCAGTTGGGAGACATCGCCATGTCTCGTTCTCCAGCCGGTGCATTTCAATGTGGTCGTCATCACGATCTAAAGAGGTTTTCACTCTTTTCCCTAAAATACTGTGGTTAAGACAGTATTTTAAAACATTAAACGTCGTTGTTGAACTGATCATCAGCAACAACATAAACACGTGAATAAATGAAGAGGACATGTGCGTGCGTGTGTGCAGCATTCCATTTGATTTTCTGAGAAGGGCGTGCGAGTGCGTGTAGCATTTGTTTTAATTTTCTGAGAAAGGCAGCCTGCGTGCAACCCTTAGATGAGTTTACACATTTTGATTTTGCCAACCGCCCATGTCCTTGGGAATACTTTTTATGGGATTTGTTTATGGTCTCTGAAAGCAAACCTCCGGATGTGAGTCCAGATGGTGAAAGCTGCCGTCAGCCCACTCAACTCCGATTGTATCACCACTTTCACTCTCAGCTCTCTGCTGGGCCGTAATGAAACTACAGGATAGCCAGCATTTTGTTGACTTTGTCCTCCGTGTGGGGCTCATGTTGAGGATTGAACCGACTCTGCCAAACAAGAATTAAAGAACTCCGAACGCAATGATGATTCAAAGTCGAAAGTGTTGAGAGATATTTAGGCCTGTCGTGTATGTACGTGTCACGACTGGTTGGGTGGGAATGCAGCAGCTATGTGAGAACCACACTAATGAAACGGAAAATGAACAGCCCACACTTTGCTTGCCTCGTCCTACCCTCGTCCTCTGCTGACCGCTCGCAGGGACTCTACGGTACGGCACGAGGGACAAAATGCCTTGCCTTCGAGTTTGGTTGTTTTTCTCCCCAAACAGTGTTCTCAATCAATGAACATCCAAAACGACTGCCGTGACTAAGATAACTGCTCGTTTTGGTGTATTCCGAGTTCTGGGGTGAGATAATAGCTATAAAAGACATTTTTAAACAGATCAACGGTTGTGAATTTCGTTCCTGTTGCCCACACAGCAGCCACTTCAGACAGGACGAATGATGACATTTCAAGCAGCTGAAAGTGGTGATACAATCGGAGTTGAGTGGGCTTACTGCAGGTTTCACCCATTCCGACCATTCACCATGGGAACACCATCAGGACAGTTTATCGAACATAGGGATCCATGGTGTGTTTGTCACGGTATGAGTCGAGCTTTGTCTGCGGCTGTTCCTCTTTAAAGCAAAAAATAATAGGAATTCCTAGTCAAATCAAATATGTTTATTCCCGGTCAGACAGGCTTCATTGAAGTGTCAAATTCTGAGACGCACTTATGCAATTCCAGTCGAATCACCCAAGACACATTGAGAAGACAAGTGTAACCAAGTGTTTCATCGCTTTGTCCAGTCGGCCTTCAGATAGATGTCCCAGTGACGCACACCGCCCTGCCAACTTCTTCAGCACAGGGAGCCTTTTTACATTTTACCTCCACAAATCAAGTGGATTTACACTCAAAGACCGGGATGGTTGCTTGGAAACTAGGAAAAGCTGCCAACGTAAACTAACCTTTGCGGTTCAGAGCCCGTTCCCATGAAGCAGTGACACTCAATGCTTTGTCGGTACTGGTTGGCGGTTGTATGACGGCACAATTCAACAATTCCTTGTATAACGGAAGCGCTAAGTTGTTTCTATCTGGTAACAAATAAATAATCAACAGTCTACATCTAGACCAGGGATAAATATGTGTGTGCGTTTGTGTTTAGGCCCTGGGCCCTGCACCTCGATGGTGCTCCTTCCTCGACAACTTGACAGAGGAGCTGGAGGAGAGCCCCGAGAGCACTGTGTACGATGACTACAAGTTTGTGACCCGGAAGGATCTGGAGAATCTGGGTGAGAGCCTGCTGCTTCAATTCTTCCTCACAAACCTCATTCCATGTGGAAACAAATCTCAAAGTCATACAACCAATGCCACATCACACATATTTCCCCAAAGCCAGGAGCCCCACCAACAAGTTAATCCCGGCCCTGAAGGAAACCCCAAACTATAAATCAACTGAGCCACTTAAGGGGTTTGCATTGTTGTCTAGACGACCTAACTAGAGGCCTAGCGAATGATTGAGCGGTATTAGGTAAGACGTGCGTGCGTGCGTAAGACGTGCGTGCGTAAGACGTGCGTGCGTGCGTAAGACGTGCGTGCGCGCGTAAGACGTGCTTGTGTGCGTAAGACGTGCGTGCGTGCGTGTGTGTGTGAGAGAGTGTGAGAGTGGGGAAGGAGGGTCGAGGGTGCGTAGACAGGAGGGGTTGAATGAACATTGGAATGCAGTGGCAGCAGTTAACAGATCAAATGACAAGAAGCAAAGAGGTGGTTGGCTGCCGTTGAATAAAAGGCGAGGAAGGGTCAGGGAGGCGTCTACAGCCGCCGTGTAACGTGGCCCGGTTATGTAATGTTGGAGGGAGAACCGGGGATCCAGGGAAGGGCGCTTACTCAACGTTTTGCCTCTTATCTACACGATCCTACTTGTTTCAGGCAGGAATGTCTACCTCCCTAAGTGTCCATAATACAGCCATTTATGACCTTGTATCACTAGTTTGGGGAACAATTTGACGTCATCTGCGATGCTTTTTTCCAGGAACTTAAAGCTGTTAACTTGATCTTCAATCAAGGGCGTGCGTCAACAATCTGCTCCTTATTTACTGACGTTGGCTAGTGGGTTGTTCTCTAAGCATTTGAAGTACTAGTTTTCATACTCAAACATTGAATTGGGCTAACTCTCAGAACAGTACATTGGAGGCGTTCAAAAAAAAAACCTTGACCAAAGTGGCAAAGTAACGCCTCTGCTCAGAACTGTTTATAAGTTCTGTGTTCTCTCCTATATCGACTGGATTTAAATTGTATTAATCCATTCAGCCAATTCCAGTTCCTGATTCCTGCGTTTCTGTCTGCCAGGTTTGTCTCACCTGGTTGGATCATCTCTCCTGAGAGCCTACATGCACGGCTATTTCATGGACGTCCGGCTTTACCACAAGGTAAGAAACACAAATAATCAGGCCCGTTGTTCAGTTTGAACTGATTATGGTGTAACAATAGTTTGAACTAGGGCTGTCAACATAAACGCATTAATCTATGTGATTAATGTGGTCAAGATTAATGCAACTTATTTTAACGTACATAACGTACGTTGACCGCGGAAAGAAACGGCCGCTAAAACAAACTATGTCGTAGTGGTGCGACATACAGCGGAGAACTTTAGAGGAATTACTCCACCTGTCAAACAGAAGGGGGGTGAGTGGCTAATGGACCACTTACAGCACCGCTATGTTAAGCTAGCTGCTAGGCTGAGCTAGCTCCTATGCTACTTCCATCTCAACATACGTTACCCTGCGCAGCACACAGTCTGCAGAGGACCACCACTGTGTCCCTAAAAGACTGTGGTTTGAAAACATGCTGGCTAAATGTGAGAAGATACCTGGCACTTCAAACACAACCATTAAATGATGGCGAGTTAAGAGCAAAGTGGACAAGGACAGCTGGACGAGTGGCTAGTTCAACAGGTTTCCATTCTGCCTTCAAGATCATTAAATGTGTGTAGTTTTGTGTTTAAAATAACACCAACAATTAAACAACAGTGTCTAAAATACACACTTTCTAAGGTGATTACTCATTACTTTTAAGATTTAGTCTTTGGAAGAAACATTCATTGAAATTTATTAATCGCCATTAATCAAGATGAATGAATTTCAAATTTCAAATTTTTTAAAATCTATTGACAGCCCTAGTTGGGACCAAATATGTGTGTTGTTTAGGTTAAACTTTTTGGTTTGGTTCGGCTGCAGGTCAAAAGCATGGCCAATCCTTTTGCATACGAGGAGTATCGCAAGGATAAGATCCGCCAGAAGATCGAGGAGTCCAGGACCCAGAGAGTGCCGGTTAAGGTGAGCGGCTCGCCTTTCCTCTCGCTGTTGGCGAAGGCAGCACCGTTCTTGCGCCCCGTGTGACCCCCCCCCATGCTGTGTGTTTTGACTGCCACAGAAGCTGCCAAAGGTGAACAAGGAGCTGGCCCTCAAGCTGATGGAGCAGGGTGATGACGAGGCAGCGCTGAATACCAGGAAAAAGAAGGGCAAGGTAAGAGAGCACTTATTGCAAAATCAAGGTGTTTGTCGACGATGTGTCACACTCTGATAACAACCGCCATCTCAGTGGAGAACACTCCCGAGGGCTGAAACACTAGCAAAATAACAGAAGTCATTAAAGGTTAACTTTGTGTATAGAATTGTGTTATTTTATTAAACATGGTATTTAGCCTTATGTCATTCATCTTATGTAATTTCTGTCTCTACATGGTCACGTGTTTACAATTCCCTGCTCTCTGTATTACACACGGTTTAGAACACACACACATACACATGCAGTCTTCCTATTCCTCCTTCTGATGCCACCCTCGCATACATGTGACATGGCTGGACCTTAACACAATACCGTAACACAATACAAAATACTCGGACTCCATTTGCATTTCTTAAGTCTCTAAAGAAACCAGGCTGACGCTGTTGATATCAAGTTTCAACTCTACCCTCCCCCCCGTTCATCACACCCCACCACAACCCTTCACACATGCAGGCTCTCCCCAGCGTCCTGGGAGATGACCGCTTCAAGGTGATGTTTGAAAACCCGGACTACCAGGTGGATGAGCAGAGCATTGAGTTCCGCCTCCTCAACCCCATCGTCTCAAAGGTGGGAGAGAAGAAGCAGAAGAAGCTGCGTCTAATGGCCCAGCAGGTGGCCGCTTCCAAAAAGGTAACGCACGGGTGGCAGTGCCCCCGCCGACAGATGCATGTCCGTCCTAATGGATTTATCGGTTCCCCAGTCGGAACCAAAGTACACAAGCATGGAAAAAATGTACCAAATTGTACCGTTTAAGAGAAAATGTATGTTATCAAAGGGAGACATTTATTCCAAGACTAAGTGTCAGAAAGGAGTGATGTGTAAATCAGTTCTGTATAATGCCGTTCTCTGCGTGGTCCGTTTTCTCTCTGGTTCACACGTCTCTGCAAGCGAGCCGTGTTTGCAGACGCAGTGTTCTCTAGACAACCTCAGAGTACATAACTTTGGCTCTGTGACGTCCCCATCCAGGCGGACGAGGAAGCCGAGGAGCCCGAGGGGCAAGCTAGCTCTGAGGAGGAGAGCTCTGACGATGACGACAAGGGCTGGGTGGAGGAGGTGAGGGAGCAGCGGAGGCTGATCTGGGAGGAGGGTCAGGACCGCCGGAGGCAAAAGAAGGAAGGGGACCGCAACACCGTCCTGCTGGAAAGGGACCAGAGCGCGGGGGAGAGAACCTCAAACATGGCCGAGGGCGAGAAGACAAGTCAGCCACAGTATTATCAGATCAAGGCCGGGCAGGAGTTCAGAAGCTTTAACGACATGGCCCGCAAGCAGAGACTACAAAAGTATGTTTATCAATAAGTATGAATATTCATGACAATGATACACGAATGACTGAACACTGTGTGAGGAATGTCTGTTTGTCCCCCAGGACGTCTTTGGAGGATCGTCTGAAGAGTGAGGAGCATTCGGGAACCAGCAACGTGGCCGACACCGCAGTCGGCAGCAAGCAGCTGACGTTCACGCTCAAAAAGGTGCCCTGTGGATGTGGCGCAGAGTACTGTCACTCTCCCCGTACATCACTCAGGGGTTTAATGTAATGACGTACAAATTTTGAGCAACCGGCCAACCCCAAAAAAAGAAACCTCTAGTTAGGGCTGGGCGGTATACCGGTATAAGATTTCCGTACGGTATGAATTTCTCTTGTACCGTTCATACCGTAAATATGTTGCGCCATAACAACTGACGTTGCTCTTTGGCGGGAGGCAGATTTTATTTTTAAAATCTGAGAAGCGACCAGTGGTCGGAGCAACTTGTCTTACGTGTGTGACACATAAACAATTTGAAACCCTAATAATTGCACATTTATAAAAATGATCCTGCTGAACTGCATCCCGGGTAAAGCTCACAACAAGAAGTAACTCGAGCGATACAGGAGGAACGAGAGACCAGAGATGCACCAACACAACTTGTGCCCAAGAGAGGAGCTGTTTCTGTTTGGAGGGTTTCTGGTTTTGGAAAATACAACGTTACATTACGTTAGATTAGAAAACGATTTATTGCAAAGTCTGTCGAGCCTCTGGTGGCAACACAAGCAGCCACAGCAACTAACACGCTAACGAGCTAACTCGCCGGCCAATTGCGAACAAGCTTATTCGGGTAGCCACGGTCCTTTTCTGGGTCAATGAATTAATGTGTTTAATTGAAAAAGCAATACAGTCACATACCGTCAGAATCTTTCTGAATTCCGTGATGTGGATTTTTGGCCGTACTGCCCAGCCCTACTTTTAGTGCAGCCAAGTGTCAAAGCTAGCCACAGAGCATGCCCTTTTTGTCCACAGGGATTTGGACATTTATAGTTTATTAACAGACCAAAAAAGCACAATTGTCTCTTCCAAGCTAGCACGGTCCAGTCAGACAAGTCTCTCTGTGGTTCCAGCTACCATCTCTGCTTTGAGAGTTTTAAAAAAATAGTCATATTGCCTGTGTACTGACTTTGAAAATGGCACACCAGATAAAAACCCTGTAGTGGAGTTCTAGTCTACTGACCCTGGGGAAAGAGGACAGGTTTTTCTCGCTTTATAGAAGAACAAACGTACGTGCACAAATGTAGGTGTGAAAAATATCATTAAGAAAAACAAGCATTTGTACACTGTAGACATAACTATTGAAACACTGTAATGTGATTAATGACATCAGGTACAGACCACCAAAAACTTCCCACTGAACAAAAATGTAATACACATAAGGGACTCATTACCTACTAAAATATACAGAGGAAATGGATTTAAAAAATCATTAATGTACAAATTTCTGTTTTACAAAAACTATTCTGAATGCTTTTATTTCTCGTGCCCTGGCTTGACCCAACCTGAAAGACGGTAATGCTTAACACTGTCCCCTCAGTGTGACTAGTATGAAGGACAGTATTGCTGAAACATGTGTTGTTCCGTCCTCATTCTCAGTCGGAGCAGCAGAGGAAGCAGCAGCAGGCGGAACACGATCACCATGAAGAGAGGAGGAAGCTGAGGCGCTCGGCCGGGCACCTGAGCAGCAGTCGCGGCGGCAGAGGACGCGGAGGAGGATGGGGAGGCAGGGGACGGGGAGGGGGAGGCGGCAGGGGAAGAGGAGGAGGAGGAGCAGTAGGAGGCGGCGGCAGAGGCCGCTACTGAGAGGGGCGGCCTAGTCCTCCCCGGGACCAGTTTCGGGCTCGGGTGGAGGACTTGGTGTCGGTGGCGCAGTCCTCAGCTCACATTGCAGCTTTCATCAGCTCGTCTTCTAAGTGTACAGGTTTTACAGCTCTAGAGACGGACCGGAGATGCTGCACAAAGGGGCAAAGACATTGATGAACAGACGAGGTGTTCCTGTGTGGTGCAAAACTGTGCAGGTTCAGAGCACAAAAGACCACCCTATCACTGCCAGCACATACATCTTATTCCATTATACAAAAGTACCAGGACTACTTTTTTTAAAGCAGGGATGGTCCAGACGGAACGAGTAGCTGAAAGGACTTGCCTCGTCTCAGGCAGCTATAGGCTCCTCAGTTGATCCAACTATTTCAGTTAATGGGAGGGAAGAAAATGTATGCTTGGGCCTAAAAAAACGTTTGTATTTTAATGCTCTTTGTACTGTAGATTGTTAAACCAACACCGAATTAATAAGACTTGTATATTATATTTGGAACAACACTCGTCGTCTTTGCTTTTATTGCCGAATATCTTCCTCAAACTTGAGCAGCAGCTAACGCCTTGCCGGCGTCACTGGAAGAAAAATTTGAGTTTTTATTCATTCTCCTATCCCCGCCAACAACCACAGTTCGTGGAAAACGAAGGACTGCCGAAGGGTCCTTCCCTTCTCCCAGTGTGCTGATGGTGTGAACCCCATGTGCTCAATCATTGGTCCATTAAAAAAATCTGGGAAGGGGCGTTTCAACCCATTTCATTCCAATCCTGGGCCTCCACTCATTTTGATCTTGCAGCACTTTTGCACCTTCACCCATCTGTCAGGTTTTGCAACATCTTGACAATCTATCTTATTGAGGAGAAATCCATTAAATTAGCAGGTCGAACAACAAATGTCGCAAGAAACAAACTAGATTTCAACACTGTAAACTCACTGGAAAGGCTCAAACAGTTTGGGAATCCATTGATGCCACTCATTCCTGTACATTAAATGCAAAGCCAAAGCTGTCAGAATAGTGAAAAGGCTAGACTTGCTTTGTCTAACGATATCAAAACTTTAACACCAGTATCGCTAAAGCTCTCTGACTAACGCATTGTGTGGAGTTTTTTGTTCAATATAAACTGAACTAGACGTGTTTAATATGAATAAAAAGGGCCGGAGTTTGAGATGCTGAGACGCCAAACTCGTCTTTACCTCCATAGGGTCAACGAGCTACAAGCTATGATTGTCCTGTCACTTTATATACAGCTAACTACATCAGGATCTGGGATCAGAAATGCATGGTACAAAGTCTTTACAGGCTCAACAGTTATCCAGGTATTTGAGACTTGCACCAGTTTGATGGTAGAATAGATTGAAATCTTTTAGCAAACTGCCATTTGATCGCTCTTCCTTGTCTTTCACATTGCTGTGGCCATGACAACTGGCAACCAGGTCACAGGAAGTGGGTCAACCGAAGCTGACAGTCACAGAGCCAATCATGAAGGCAAGGATGTGTTATTTGATATGCCCGGCCCTGTATGGCCAGCCATTATGTAACCATTGTGGACACCTCGTGGTTTGAGATTTGCTGAGACGTCTCGTGGAATTCATCACTTCCATGCAAATCCCAGCTCAATAGCAGAGGGACATTTGGTGGAGATTCGGGTTTCATTGAAAACACAAATGTTTCAGCTGGTGTCCATTGCTGTGGATCATCCACAGAAGACACTGTCAATTAACTATTTCTTGGGTAGGATGGAATGCCTTTGCAAACTATAAGAAGAAGTCTATTCTAGTAACCAGCACACTGGGTTTTCAGGATCAGGAATCAGGAAACATTTATAGGAAACTTTATTTTGGGAGAAGAATCTATAAATGAGAGTCTTGAGTGTCGCAGCAACAGCTTGAAACCTTTTTTTTAATGGTACCATGATGTGCACATTGTTAGAGAAGAGTTCCCCCGCCATCCCCTCCACCCTGTGAAATGTGCTGACACAGTCTGTTCCCAAGCATTCAGGCCGGCCCAGGGAAGCATGAAAGCTGGGCCGCTGAAAAGAAGATCCAGAGCAGACCAACTGTTGGCAACTCAACCTTGAAAGATGAAGACATGATGAGTCAGCAGAGAGCCTGATTAAACAACTCTCCTCTCATAACTCCAGGAACAGAGCGGACAAGTGGGTGAGTGGGGCGGCTTCAGGGTCAAACATGTCACTATGACAACCAGGGCTGAGCGATGTATTTTATCTGTGCAGATTATAACATGGTAGAAGTGTTTTCCTCGTGGCCTCATGGCAAAGCGATGTCATTTATCTAACACACTGAATCCATCCAGCACGCCGCGGGGAGATCACACCGTGATGTCGACAAAACACACCATATCCCCACGTTATCACCGTGCCGTTTTCCAAACTAGAAGGACACTCAGAGTGCAGACCGCCGCCAAGGTTGTCTCCAAACTCTAGACAATAACAATGCATGTAACCGCTGCCTGGATTGAAATCCGCTCCCAAAGGCTGTGTTCTCTGTTGGCCCTCGCTATGCTCTGTGATCATGAAGTTATAAATTTGACTGAAACTACTCAGAAATTCTCTGACAATTCAAGTCCCAAAATAGGAGAAAAAAAACACAGGCTGCCAAAGACGGAATATATTAGTTTCTCCTCCGTGGTTGTCTGCCTGTATGTGTATGGAAGCTGCTGGAGGCTGTTTCCTCTGGCCCATGTTGTGTTACTGTGTGCTGGCACCATGTTGTGTTACTGTGTGCTGTCTACACAGGCGGGGCCAGAGCAATTATCCACGGGCTTTGGATGATTTCTGAATGTCTCCAGCTGTCTCACGCTGTGGTAATTGTTTCCCTTAAGGACACACGATTGTGACCAGGAAACATTGGGATCTTTTATCTCCTCGTGGCAAACCAACATTCTTCACGCCCCTGGAAGCTCTCTGATGACTCCGGCTATCAGCGTCCACGTGGTTAGGAGATGTTGGCATCGTCTGATGGTATGAGGTCCCTTTGCTGAATCCTGAACCAAGTGAAAGAATGTATTCTTTCTAACTGAATGTCATGTGGTTTAATTCACAACACAATTGAGCGGTATAAATAGTAGTTCAAATCAGATCTTTAGCCTTGATTGGGCTGCGAAACAGCTAGAAGGCTGAAGAGGACTGTTGGCTGCACACACACGGGGACACACCCGCCTCACTTGTTGAACCATCAACCCGTACTGGTGAACGGCTCCCCGCTGCCTCTATGATCCAAGCTCCCCAGGCTCTACTAATCATTTTATTGTAATTTTTTTTTTTTTTGTAAAAGCGAACGTAGGTGAGCATAAAAGTGAGCGTAGGAGCAAGTCATGAAAGATTTAACCGTAACAGAAGGCAGACACACTCTGACTTCCGTTTCACTGAAGTGGCCCGTCTCTGAGATTAGAAGCGCTTTGAAAAGAAGAAGCAACACTTTCTTCCTCATCGTGTAACATGCTTCCCATGGCCACAGTGGCCGCTGCTCCAACAGAGACAAAGGGGAGGCCAGAGTGTTTCCTCAATTTCTGGAAAGTTCAAATTGGGGCTTTTTTCTAAATTCTGCAATTTCTCTATGTGTGTGGTCCAGAGAGTGAGGACTCGCATGTAGAAATAGATTAACAAGAAGAGTGGTCAATGTGGTCGGAGTACAGAGGAATCAGGAATGAGCCCACAAGACCAAACTTTCCATTTGCTTCCTTTTTTAAGGTATTGCCAGACACTACAGAATTAAAGTGTGTGTGTATTGGGGGGGGGGCTGAAACGTCACCAGAATGAGAACTTTCTTGTTTTCCTCCTCTCGGGTATACTTCCACTGACCTTCACAGCCACAAGCCACCAGTGTATTCAATGACATTTACCCTCTGCTCTTTTGCTCTTTTCCCCCGAGGTATCAGTCACAGAAATTCTCTTAATTCTTGTTTGAGGCGCTGCATCTCCCTCTCATAACAAAACCAGAACTTAGCATTGAACATTTGGTCATATGGTGCGAAAGTGTTTGATTTCACTGATGTGAAGGAGTTTTGGCTTGCTTTGCAAATTTGAAATCGCTGGCTGGTCTTGGTTCGGGAGCAGGCCGGTGCTACGGTTTCACATTTGAGTTCATTAGGTTGTTTGAGCGTTACCACGCTGTTAGGGTCTTTCCCCGAATGAAGTCACATTGACCGCACTGTATACAATAACCACAGGTAGCATCTGCTTGGACTCGGGTTTCATAAGCAGCTTTCTGGACCAGCAGGAAATGCTCAGGCACAAATCGAGGTCAAGCCTTTTACAAACACGTGACGCCGACTCCAGTAAGTAAGTACCAATACACGGGACTACTCTTGAGGCGTCACCGGGTAACTTCAGCTTGGTTAAAGTAAACAACCCAAGTATGTAACCCATTTTCTGTCTTTCTATTTTTTTCCCTGCAGAAACAAAGATGACACGGCGACGTTGTCATGAAACGGTGGAAGTGACCGTGACCTAACAAAGTGACCTAGCAAAGTGTAGAAGAACACAAAGCCAGATGCAGCGGTACACATGACCCGTAACACTGCACTGTATCTTGTGGGTCGCCAACAACAATCCTCATCTTTGTCTTTGGCGAGGCCACGGAGACGTGGGGGGGAGGACACAACAGTGCACAGTAGCGATAACAGACGGTGCACATAGAGACGAGAAGAGGACATTATAACAGGGGGAGGAGAGGGGCATTGTTGTGGGTCTTTTTTGACAAAAATAGTTCCAACAAAAAAGGAAGTGATTGCAGTCTAACACGGGGGGGTTCTACATCTAAGATGTGTTCTGGGATCTCGTGATTTGCAAACAAGGCAGATGAACATCCGTTGAAAATGAATTTGTGAATGTGCGGGGCCCACTTCCTGACGGACGGGGATTGAGTGCGTAGGACGTGTGTCCTGTTACACGGGACAAACGGCATGAAATGTGTGAAAACGATTGCAGATGATGTCATTGCACAACATTCCCGTTTAACCTTGCTTCAACGTTCTGATCAGGTCAGAAAAGGCCTACACTTTGTTTTTTAACAATTAAACTGCTCGGAAAGTATGGCTTGACTCACCGGGGCCTGCAAAATGTTTGCATTCTTTCCCCACTGTGCAAAGTATTGACTGCCATCTTGATGGAGGCTTCACGACCTGGAAAAGATATTAAGCTGAGCGCGCAGATATGTGGTCCTCGTGAAGCCCTAAGGTCCGGACGTTAGTGGCCTGGAACCCATGCTTGTGCAACATTTCCACGTGTAGTCGAGGTCACACTGACCAAATTCTTCATTTTCCTCTATTTGGTAATGTCTCTCTTGTGAACCAAATGTCTTTGAAAGCAACCTTTGGACCATTAGACTGCAGCAAGGGGAAATATCAATGGGACAGGAATTTAAGGGCTCTGGGTAAAATGGCATCTTTCTGCTTGGAAGCATAAGAAACCTGTTTTTCTTCTTTTAAACCCCTGCATAGTATTCAGTATTTTACAGAGGCAGTTGTTATTTTAATCGTAGCAGACATTTATCTGTAAGGATAAATATTATTTGTACACCTACATGTATAGAACTAGGCTATAGAGGAGGGTTGGGTCTGTAACACCTTTGACATCTCTAAGTCAACTCGTGACGACCTTTCAATCCCATGAAGTAGGTGAATAAGTCAAATTGAGACTGAGCAGACTGCCATGGAGACATGGAGGTAAGAGCCAGACAGTGGTGGGAGTAACACAAACACTGGGCAGGCTTCTTCCATTGCTGTACTGTGGATCAGCTGAAGCATTAAGTTCATCTGAGGTCCGTAGTAGTATGGCAGCACCATTTGCTGAATGTTTGGACTCGAAAGAAATAAAACTTTGAGTGAAATTAACATTCCTTCATTCTTTTATTTTATTTCAGCGAGGTAAGTAAAGGCGGAGAATGAGACAGAAACTTATAGGTAACGTTTTCACACGAGGAGTGTATTACTAAGGTCAGACAGTCGTGTGAATGTTTGGGTTTTAGGGCCCTGCCCGAACAGTAGCGAGACGTTTACGAAAGGTCCGTTTGACCGCCTATCTTCCGGGCGAACGTGTGTATGCAGTGATATTATCCCGCCCGTCCGTCTTTCTGCGCCACCCCCCCCACCATGTGGACGAGGTGACGAGACAAAACCGGTTCATACGTGGATGGGAGGCCGGTTTCAGCTGGCTGCGTTGCTGTAGCAACGAGCTCTCTATAAATACCGTCGGGATCCTTTTACCGGCTTGCACACCAGTCTCACCCACCACGGAAGCGACACAGCCAGCTTAATTTTTTTTATCCCAGCATTCTGGTCTAATGGACACACTCTTTGTAAATGCTTTTCAAGGTAAGTTAAGGATGTTCGATGGTAAACGTATTTTAAACCTTTACGTTAAATGCGTCTTGACGTTAGCTAACGGTTATTAGCTTGCTAAATCGTTTATGGCGGCTTAAGGAGGACAATGAAATACGGGTTTTCTATTTTTCACCGTAATTTCAGTTTACTACAACATTTAGTCGATATTAATTGTTTACGCTACTTCCCGGTACGACGTATCCGTTGTAACACTGGGTTAACGTCAGTAAGCAAATCTTGTCTAGCAATATTACCTTAATATATAATAAGAATACCTTGATAACCAATCCACATAACGTTAGCCTGTAATATGGACTTCAGACATGGGTGTGTTTGCGCCACGTTGAACACGTTTTTTCTTCACCGTTTTTAAATTGCGTGTGCTCTACTAAACCACGTTACTATTAACTTCAGTGCAAATTCGCCTCATGGAACGACGAGGTCTAAACGGAACCGGCATAGTGACGTTGTCCTCGTATGTCGTTCACCGATTGGTTCATTTATGTGCCTCTCTTTTGATGTTTTAAGGCGGGTCTTCTTTGATTGGATTACATCTGCGCTGGGCGGGGTTTAACACTTTGTGGGACTACTCCCCGCAGATGGCGTCTACTACCGTTACTCATGACTCATGACATAGTTATAAAATGGAGCGGTATTACAGACTTTGTATGGGCATCTCGGAAGTCTGTTCCTCTGTAAACGAATTAAACCGGTTTTAAGAAAATAACCGCCACGTTGTGTTGAATTGATTTATATAAACATAAAAATAGACTACACCTTTTTATTATACGTGTAGATGGTTATTTCCTCTGTCAAATTATTTTGTTCACAGAATCATCAGTCTAGAAAGACTCACACTACCTACTCAGCAGGCCCGGGCCTTGAGTTGTATTTGAAGGGATTTAACTTCACTGGTGAGCCGCCTTGGCTTCTCTGCACCTGAGAAACCACCAACTCTATATTCCATCTCTTTCCTATCCAAGTAAGTGTGTTCGCTGTCCCACCGTCTGGATTTTATCTTGAGTCATGTTGGCAGGTACGACTGACAAAATTGTCATTCAATTCAGTGATGCGTTAAAAGAATTTCCTTTACATTCCCTTGTTTTAGCCGTTCCCATATAAATTGGGATTAAAACATGTATTAAAGACACACTTTCTCAATGCTGAAATATAATCTCTCCCTCTTTCAGTTTACTTGTGACTAAGAGGACTTCTTGTGACCATGAACACTTCTACTTCCACCGAGTTTGACTTCTCTTTCTTGGAAGAGGGCTTCTCTGCCCGGGATATTGTTGAGCAGAAGATCAACGAGTCATCCACCACGGTGAGCATCCTGTGTCGACATTGTTTAGTGGATAAACAGAATAGTCCCGCTGGGTTGGCTGATGAATATAAACAAGATGCACCTGTCATCCTATACCAGTGTTCAGGTTACAGGTATAGCATTGAGTGAATTGTATGCCCTTTACCTAACATTTAAAACCTTGTTTTGTCCTTGTTTGTGTATCACGCACTTCTATGACTGAAGATGGTTTTGTTAAACGCACCTGTTCCTCTATTTTTGCCCACAGGATGACCGGGATGCCTTCTACGTCTGTGACCTGGGAGATGTGCTAAAGAAACATCTGCGCTGGGTGAGGGCCCTGCCTCGAGTCACTCCTTTCTATGCCGTCAAATGCAACAACAGCCGGGCCGTGGTCATGACCCTGGCGTCCCTGGGAGCCGGCTTTGACTGTGCAAGCAAGGTGAGTTTGGACACTTCCTGTAGCACTAGATGTTCCAAGAATAACGACACAACAAAGCCGTTGTGGCAATAAGCTGAAATGGCACTGGCGGGTCTTGTTACTAAATTTTTCTCTCCCTCTTCCACCTCTAGAATGAGATTCATTTGGTCCAGTCTCTGGGAGTGGATCCAAGCAGAATCATCTATGCAAACCCCTGCAAGCAAGTTTCTCAAATCAAGTATGCATCTGCCCATGGGGTGCGGATGATGACCTTTGACAGCGAGGTGGAACTCATGAAAGTGGCCCGCTGTCATGAAAATGCCAAGTGAGACATTTTAGCCGTAACAGATTTTGGTTGATATCTCAATTATCTGCACATATTTTTTTCCTCCTCCACTAACCCATACTCCTGCTACCTGCCCAGACTAGTGCTGCGTATTGCCACAGATGACTCAAAGGCAGTGTGTCGCCTGAGTGTGAAGTTTGGGGCCCCACTCAAAGCTTGCCGTGGTCTTCTGGAGTGTGCCAAGAAGCTGCAGCTCGATGTGATCGGCGTCAGCTTCCACGTCGGCAGTGGCTGCACCGATCCGCAGACCTACAGCCAGGCTATCGCCGATGCCCGCTGCGTCTTCGATATGGGGGTGAGTTGTGACAGACGTGCCCATGCAACTGGATATAAGAAAGGCAAAATGATTTAGGGTTTTATGCAACGTGATTAACTAAACATCGGATTTTTGTGACCTCCAGGATGAGCTTGGCTTCAACATGGACCTGTTGGACATTGGAGGAGGTTTCCCCGGTTCTGACGAAGCTGAACTCAAATTTGAAGAGGTATCTTTCTTTTCATTCTTATTTATTTTCAATTCTGTCTGTTTTTGAATTAAAACAGGACAAATAAGCAGTGGTACTAGCTCATTGTTACCATTTTTAATAGAATGTTGTTATTCTTTTTGTAGATCACCGGAGTGATCAGCCCGGCCCTGGACAAGTTCTTTCCTGCTGACACTGGTATTAAGGTGATTGCAGAGCCAGGGCGCTTTTATGTGGCCTCTGCTTACACCCTAGTGGTCAACATCATTGCCAAGAAGGCCATCGTGGACGACGAGTCGGCCTCTGACGGTAACAGCCATAATCTAGGAGGACATATTTATTTTGATAGCATGTGTGTCACATTTCTCAGTATTAAGACGTTATTTTCTGCTTTCATCAGAGGAAGACGAAGGGACCAATGATACGACTCTGATGTACTATGTCAATGATGGAGTTTATGGATCCTTCAACTGTATACTCTATGACCACGCTCACTGTTTGCCAACACTACTTAAGGTAAGAGAAAGTGGCAGATCTACTCAGCCAGGTAGCTCAGTGGAAGGTGAATCAAAGGGTAACGGTTTGTGTGTCTCCCCTGTCTTTGTACCAATAGAAGCCAAAGCCGGATGAGGCCATGTACACCTGCAGTATCTGGGGTCCGACATGCGACGGCCTTGACCGCATCGTGGAGCAGTGTGACCTGCCTGACCTGCAGGTGGGCGACTGGCTGGTCTTTGACAACATGGGCGCCTACACCGTGGCTGCCTCCTCCACCTTCAACGGCTTCCAGAAACCAGACATCTACTACGTCATGTCCCGCACTGCCTGGTGAGGACCACTTGCAACTTTTCATTTGTGTTGTGCGATGGACACTTTCTGGAGTATTTTTTTCATTTCAATTGTATTTATTTTGAGGAAAATAATTACATTGAGATTTGGATATAAAAGAGCACTTTCATCAATTGTGAGGATTTTCAGTGTTTCTTGAGGACAGTCTTAACTTGTATCTGCATCGTCTTCTCCAGGCAACAGGTGCAGAGGATCTGTTCCCAGGGCTTGCCACCTCCTGCGGAGGAGTCCTGTGTGTTGGATGTGCCAGCTTGCTGCGGTCGAGAGAGCAACTTGGAGCTGCCCACTAAGCCCTGCCAGGCCCACGTGGTTTAAACACATGCTGTACATCACAGCAATCTTCTATGGATCAGCACCCTTTGGTTATTAATTGTTGAAGTCTTATTTTTTCATTTTTCCCAAATGTGCATCAACATTTAAAGGCCAGTAACTTGCAGGAGAAGGAGAGGGACCAGCTGCTGCAGAACTGTCTGTGTTCTGTATGGAAGTGGGGATCAACGCAATGAAATGTGTCTGTGTGTGTGTGTGTGTGTGTGTGTGTTTTTTAGGGGACATCTGTGTACTCGGGGTCGTCGTGGCGCAGGGGTTAGAGAAAGTGTGCTGGGAAGCATAAGGTTGTTGGTTCGATTCCAGGCTGCCCCATGTTCCATGTCGAAGTGTCCCTTAGCAAGACACCTAATTGTCGCAAAAGTCGCTTTGGATAAATGCGTCTGCTAAATGACCTGTAATGTAATGTACTCCAGCTCATTGCTGCAGGCCCCCACTGTACCAGTATTTAGTGAAACTGGAGTAATCAAGAAAGCATTTTTCCTAACTAACACGTGCAGGTAGATAACCTTGTTTAGTTGAAATCTACTCCACTGAATTTGACCTGTCCCTGTAAAGCTCACACCATGGCAAACGGTGGAAAAAGCCTTGTTAACATTTGGAGTCACATTCCTAGGTAGTTACAGGGTTGGTTTAATTCCTCAGAAATGGCTGCTATGTTTATATTTACATTTTCCATGATCTCCACTACTGTACAGAACTCCTCAAGATGTCAATGTTTCAAAAAACGCACCAAAAAATAACTTTGTATTGATAATTGTAGGAAAACATCTGCATGTCATAGCAATATGTAGTGTGTGTGTGTCCGGGCACTGAAGTGTGAGGCATTGAATGAATCAGACCGCTTAAGGTGCACACATTTGTTCTGCTCCCCTCACAAAACAGTTTCCACTAAATAAACATGAATTAATACTTAAAACGCAGGGACTCGAGACACAGACTGCACCTCCCCTCTACTCCACCTTTAAATTGTTATTTGATTTCTAATGTCTTGAGTCTGCTTTGATATGATTTAAGAACAGGTGTGAAAACCATGTATTTGAAATGGATACGAAAGAGATGGGATTGCAAATTCATAATGCTTTCCTATGGAAACTTTTTTTGAAGTTTTGTATTTTTTTAATAAATAAAGCATTAGGTGCAGAACCAACATCTGGCTGTGGTGTGTTGTGTGTGTGACAGGAAATAGACCACTTGTAAAGCAAAATGCATCGTGAAACGACAGGATATTGTTGGAGCTCCATCTATTGTTTGCAGCAGGAAGTGGTTAAGACACATGGACTGTCCCTCTGTTCTCTTCACTCAACTCGGATTGAGACACGCTAACTGCTCAACACTCACCTTTTAAACAAACCTACTCAAACAGCGCTCATCATCAGATGTGGTTGGGAATGCAACTAATCCCGCAGCTCAGTCCTGACCTTTCTGGAGTTTACACAACAGCAATTGGAATGTTGCAGTGTGACTTTGTCTTTTGTTTGTGTGACAGTTTTCCGTGACATCCCATTCAAAACCAGTATCAATAAGAATATATTTTCTATTTATATATTATATATAATTGAGCATTTGATAAAAATGATAAAAATTTGATTGTAATAGTAATTTCAAAGTAACACCATTCTAAGGTGAACGTGGGCCAGATGTGTCCCTGTGTATCAGTACTGTGTGACTGTGAAGAAAGTCAAGATGGCCCCTAGGACACCAATAGGGGACATGACCCTGGCCTCCAGCAGTCCAGACTGGGAGCACGCCCCCTTGTGGCGTCTGACTGTACTCTGGAGTGGATCTGGGTACTGGACTGGCTCAAAACCTGCAGACACCTCAGGCCTCGCCAGCACGAAATTCAACATCACAGTAACAATTGCCAAGTTTAGCTGTAAAGACATGCGACCCGACAATGTGGTTGAAAATCCGGGGTTCTGTAAATTGATCCAAACATTGTGTAATCATTGTGTAATGTTTACATTGAAAATAGCACTTGATTCAAATAAAAGGTTAATATTTGCCATTAATTGTTGTTTGCTTGTTTATAATATCCATAATTAATTTAAACCTGATTTCCTTACAAGAAACAGGGATCTCGGAAACTTTGCCTGCACTGTCCAGTAAAGTTACTGAATCGATTTCAAGTCACTGAATCGAATCGTTCTAAATTAACCCAGATCGTCCATGAATCGAATCGCAATCATGAATCGCGATTCGAATCGAATCGTTGTTAAAATGAATCGTTACACCCCTAGTAATCTGTCTGTGGCCAAGATCTCATCTTTGTGCATGAGATGTCCAACAGAAGAGGCTTGGTCTGTCCGCAAACAAAACATTTTTACTGTTGACTGTATCCAATTCACCCCTAAAATCTATAATGCTGAGAATGCTAAAACGTTTCCACTTCCTCAATAATGTGATCGGTCTATTTACACATTAAGCTTGATATCAGGATCAAGTGATTGTCACACTTGAGCAAGCCCTCTTTTCTTGGCATTCAATTCAATTCATTTTATTTTGTATATGTAACCGGGGCGGCCGTTCCCTGGTCACAAGGGTGACAACGTCACTTTGGGACTCTCACCCAAAGAATATCAGTTGTAATGAAAAAGAAAGGGAGCAGAGAGGTGAAGTTCCAGTTTTGTAACAATGTTTTTTTTATTTACAAGTAGGTTTAATATTTAAAAGAAAAGGAATAATCAATCCAGAAACATTGGTCGGTTATATGGCAAAATATAATCTATGCTTTGAAAAAGGATTACTATACTGGGGTACCCTACCAGTACAAGGTGACTACTTGAGGCCCACCGGGGCGGGGGAGTGAAAGGGGACAAGGGGGCCACCACCAGGTCAAAGGAAAGAAAACACAGCAAATCAAAAAGAATTAAAACACAGCAAACAAACAAAATAAACTGAAAGGGCCTTCCACCTCGTGAGCCACCCCCTGTAGGCCTACTATATGCCCACCTGCACTGGCATTAAAGGGACCCCCAGTATAGGGCGCAGTAATGGTTGTTTATGTAGGACAAAACAAAGACACTAACCCAGAAAGAAAACAAATTAGCAATTCATAATCAAAGATACTATATAAACCGGGTAACCACAATCTATTTTAAATCAAAGGCAAAAACAGCAGTGACCAGGCTCAGCGTTGCACCACCTGATCATTTCCTGTATAAAAGAAAGAAAAGGTAAATAACGCCAATAAACATTTCACTGCTAAAAAGCATATTAAAACATGAAACAGAAAACCCCTGACATACCTCTAGATTCCGCTCAAACCCATCCGCACGTGGCGAGTGCTGTGCCTATGCCGTGGGAGACCTACAGCAAGCCCCCCTCTAGCTCTAGTGGGGCAAAAGCTCCCATTTAAAGAGCACCTGGTCACACCTGTTAGGCATCACCAATTAAGGTGGTGTGGCCAAACAGGCAGGGGGGGGAGGGGAGAGCTCTACCCATCACATATACATGCAACATCCTGTATCTCGAAACCCTCACATCGGCACAGGAAAAACTCGAAAATCCTCAAAACGAAAACCTTTCCATGGGAAAAAGAGTGAAGAAACCTGAATCAGAAAAGGATCTCTCTCCCAGGATGGACAAACTACAATGGATGCCATGTGTACAGAATGAACAATGTAAAAGATGTATAATACATTCAATTCCACTCAGAAATTATTAAAATATTTCTGAGTAGCAAGCCAGGCGTACGGTAAGACCACTGCAGGGACAACCACCATCAGATAGAACCACCATCATTTCTGTTGAAGCATAAGCAGCATTACACTAATAACATACCACAACACACCTCACCAGACTGTCATGTAGCTCAACTTAAGACCTACCTTTCATTTGTATATTAAAAAAATAGTGAACTAGTGACCATGTCTAATTTGTAGAACAGTAAAACAGTAAAGTAAACGGTAAAACAGCAAAACTGCCTTTGAGGTCTGTCTCTCTCTCTACTTCTCTCTCTTCATTAAACACGACAACCGTCAGTAAACAGCTGGACAAGGCTTTGAAATCATGGATTTCGTGAGTTTTTTGTTTATTTTTTAGGAAACGTCGGACCAGTTGCAACGTAATGTTTTCAGCGGCGCTTATGACGCGGTTAATTTACCACTAAACAACGTCGGGGGATTTCACAAACACTGTCATCACCTGTGTGTCTGACGCTGCAGCCGTTTGGCGCTCTGCGCTGCACGAGCACTAAGCGGAGGAGGAGGGAGGGGCGGGGCTTGTGAGCGCCGCGGAGCGTGTTGGGGCGAAATTCTCACAGGAATAAATCAATCAAATAAATGCCCCGTCGGATACCAAAACACATTTGGGGGGAATTGACGACAGAAAGAGTAATTTTTATTCTTAAATATTGATGAATGAAGAAACAATTGTGCTCCAGCAGAAGGGGCACTTTTCTTGTCCAGGGCAAATGGGCAGACGCACCACTAGGGGTCTAGCTGTGCACGTGCCCGGATGACATCCGGCTTTTTGAAACCAGGCAGCTCGTTCTTCGTGGAGACAAACCTGAGAACCTCCCCAGCTCTGCTAATGCCGGGCAGTCTACATGGCGTCACTGAGGTGGACCACGGATCGGTTGCAATCCATGTTCTGTTGATTTTTAATAACTGCTTGAATATTTAAAAATCATTTGAGTCCAAATTACAATTTTAAACAGTTCCATTTGATATCTGGTATACTGCAGTATTTTTAAATGGCGTGAGGCTTTTTGACCGTATGACAGTATGACAAACATTTCTTATGGGTCTGAAGTTTGCAAGGTCAAATTCTAGTGTATCATTCGTTTTTTCTATGAGCTCAATTCGAAATCAAGGGTTGTTTCACGAGTTATACTCAAATAATGACTTCCACGTTTCAATTCAATTCAATTCATTTCATTTTGTATAGCCCAAAATCGCAAATTACAAATTTGCCTCAGAGGGCTTTACAGTCTTTACAGTACACATACGACATCCTCTGTCCCGAAACCCACCATCGGCACAGGAAAAAATAAAAAATAAATGAAAAAACCCTTCCAAGAGGGAAAAAAGGGAAGAAACCTTAGGGAGAACGTCAGAGGAGGGATCCCACTCCCGGGATGGACAGATTAACAGTGCCTCAGAGGGCTTTACAGTCTGTACACATACGACATCCTCTGTCCCGAAACCCACCATCGGCACAGGAAAAAATAAATGAAAAAACCCTTCCAAGAGGGAAAAAAGGGAAGAAACCTTAGGGAGAACGTCAGAGGAGGGATCCCACTCCCGGGATGGACAGATTACAATGGATGCCATGTGTACAGAATGAACAATGTATAATACATGCAATTCCTATGACAGAAATGATTAAAGTAATTGTGAGTAGTAAGCCAGGCGCACAGCAGGACCACTGCAGGGACAACCACCATCCACAGAAGCCTGTGGAGAGGGAAAGCTCAATGACTTTAGGAGAGGGTAATGTTGGTTTATGATTACAGTAATATGATTAATATCTAAAATAATAATGATGATGATGATGGCAGCAGCCGGCGTCAGCAGGGCCACGGCAGGTGTCAGGACCAGGGTCCAGAAGGAACTACGATCTACGGAGACTTGATAGGGGAGAAAGCACAAAAAAAAAAACGTATGTGCATTATTGTGCGGAAAACCCGGCACATGAGCTCCGGAGAAAATGATATACAAAACATACATTGTCGGTTAATACATTTTTAATCGGTTAAATTCTTAAGGTCATTTAATCACCCCTAGTTTATGTTTTGATCAGAGTTGTGATTAAAGGTTTGGGTGGGCCGCAAAAGATTTTCAGATTTCAAATTGGGGCGCGGCATTCTTGAGTTTGGCAACCGCTGATATGGTATCAAATGCAGCACTAAGGTCCAGCAAGACAAGAAAAGAGATGAGTCCTTGGTCCAATGCAAGTAGAAGATCATTCGCAATTTTCACCAGTTCTGTTTCTGTGCTATGATGCACTCGGAATCCTGACTGGAAATCCTCGAACATCCTTGACTTTTGTAGAAAGTCACATAATTGATTTGCGACAGATTTCTCAAGGGAAGAGAAGGGAAGATTAGAGATAGGTCTGTAGTTAGCCACCACCTCTGGAGCAAGAGTAGGTTTCTTAAGAAGAGGTTTAATTACAGCTACCTTGAAGGACTGTGGTACTGTCAACAAAGACAGATTCATAATATCTGATAAGGATGTGCTAACTAAAGGAAAAACTTCCTTAAGCAGCTTGGTCGGAATCGGATCCAAGAGACAAGTAGAAGATTTAGACTTTGAAAATAAAGAAGTCAGTTGATCAAGTTTGATGGAAGAGAAAGCATCTAAACAGGCATCAGGGCCCACTGCTGCATCCAAAGTTCCTACATCTGAGGACAGGTCGGCACTGGTTGAAGGCAGGAGACCATCAATTTCCTCTTTGATAGTCAGAATCGTATCATTGAAGAAATTCATGAAGTCGTTACTACTGAGGTCCAAAGGAATACACGGCTCGACAGAACTCTCTGTCAGTCTGGCTACAGTGGTGAAGAGAAACCTGGAGTTGATTTAATTTTTCTCTATTAAAGATGAGTGATAAGGTACTTGTGCGTTACGGAGAGCCTTCTTATATGTTTTAAGGCTGTCTTGCCAAACTAACCTAGATCCTTCTGATTTGGTGGAACGCCATAATCGTTCAAGTTTCCGTACAGTTTTCTTAGGTTCCGTATTTGAGGGTTATACCAAGGAGCAGACTTCCTTCTTGTAGCTATTCTTCTTTCCAGAGCAGGGCACTGAACTTAGAGCAGAAGGAATGGCTTCTTTAAATAAGGCTACAGCGGTATCCGATAAGCGTCGACTGTAGAAACCTTTGGCAGGAGGAGGTGGTTCCGATAGTAGAAATTCAAAGGTTATCAGACAATGGTCCGACAGGAGAGGGTTCTGGGGAAAAATTGTTAAATGTTCAATCCCAATCCCATACACAATGACCAAGTCGAGAGTGTGGTTAAACAGTGAGTTGGTTTATTTGCACACTGACAGAAACCAATTGAATCTAACAATGAAAGAAATGCAGTACCAAGGCTGTCGACATCCACATGAATGTTAAAATTACCCACAATAATTACTATGTCCGTTTTAAGGACCAAACTCGTTAAGAACTGTGAAAATTTAGAAAAAAAATTAGAATAAGGACCTGGGGCCCTGTACACTATTACAAAGAGAACCGCCTGGATTATTTTCCAGGTTGGTTGCGAAAGACTGAAAACCAGGCTTTCAAATGAGTTATAATCCACCTTAGATTTAAAGTTTATTAAAAGCCAGGAGTCATAAATTGCTGCCACTCCCCCCCCTTGGCCTGTGCCTCGAGGAATATGAGTAATAAATATGAGAGTAACATGACTCGGAGGAGTCGCTTCACTTTTACTATAACTCCTCAGTTGTTTACCTTTAACTTAGATAACTGTGTCCGTGGGGCAGACAAGGTCTCTATAGGGTTAATTATGGTTTTGGTGAGTGACTGCTTGGATTGAAGCGCAGAGAAGTGTGTAAGACTGCGACTCTGCTTCCTGGTCTGAACTCTTAGTCATGGATTAAGTCCACTAAGAAACTGGGTCAGGTTCTTAGAAATAAGTTCAGCTCCATCCAAAGTGGGATGGTTTTATCTTATTTTTTTACCCATTTACGCTGCTGTCAGGACAACGTCTTAGCTTGGGTCTGTGAAAAAGCACATCCCCGTTGTCTGCATTTTGAATCATGTAATGGCTCCTTTCGTTGAGCCCAAAACGGAATAAATGTGGTGTGTTTGGCATAAGAGACCACCAGAGGGCCACATGCTACATGTAGCCGATGCCGTCGGTTTTACTGTACTGTGAGTCACACCATCATTGCATTTTGTTACGGACATTATACTTTATGTTGTAGGGCTATTCAGGCCGAATGTCATTGTTGGACAAAACGTCCTAAACGTGCTGGGAATAGAGGCCCTTTAATAGAGGCCCTGTGATATTCACGTTTAAAAACTCTTATTAGGCCAATAATCATTGTACCCAAGTAACTGCTTCTCCTCATGCTCCCCCTCTTCCTCTCCCCACCTCCCTTTGTAAAGCTGGTATAGAACTAATTCCGTGTTTTACCACCCGCCAAAGAAGAGCCAGCCGTTCTCCCAGCTGCAGCACAAAGCAGCCTCCAGTGGCCCATCCATCATTCAAATTTGTTCATTAGTTAAGTAGTCTTAACTACAATAACACTGCAGTAGGCAAATACTAATGACGCAATCACAATATGACTCATGTACTACAAACGTTTTAGCAGCAAAAGTTTCAAAAGGATAAGAAGTCATTGGCCCTCTCTCAATCCTTATTTATTGAGTTAATACCACAGCTGCATTTGAATGCAATTTTATGTTTTTGTGGACTGAAGGTTTGTTTACAGATTATTATTTAAGATTTTAGCAAGTCCTAGAATCCAAGAGAAATACAATCATGGAGAAGTGCAAGCTCCCGTTGCTGCCGTGACTTGTCCACTCCTCCGCCCACTCCTCCCCCCCCGCTCCCCCTGGACCTCTGTGTTGTGCACGCCCAAGTGGACGAGACCACATAAATAGGTGCACCTCCAGAGCCCGGGCGAACTGACAGACCTGTGCGCGGCGGCAACATGACCTCTGTAACGTGGGGACTGCTCTGCCTCGGTGGCATCCTGGCAGCGACTTCCCCGCAGTTCGGATCCCGGAACCAGCAGATGCGCTCGACCCGTCTGTTGATCCCGCCGGTCCGTCCACGCGTTGAAGAGATCAGATCCAGCGAGCAAGGCTCTGACGAAGCACCGAGTGCTGAAACTTTTCAAGAGGACCAGCCGAGTGGCTCCACGGCCCGAGGCCCCCGGCAGGGGTCCAGGCCAGGGGCCCGCATCAACCCAGCGCAGGAGAGACGGAGGGCCACGGAGGCCGACAGTGGAGGTCAGTTGGTGCTGCAGATGTTCTGTAAGCAAAAATATACTTCTATTGGTTACAGACCACCTATTTCTTGCTAAAGTGACATGCGTTGTCTATTTGCAAATTAAACAAAATTAAGAGATAACTAAAAATGAATTCAAAATGATTAAATTAGCTTTGCCTTCAATAAGAATTGCATGTGTAATATATATGTAATAAAAAATAAGGATAATAATTAAATAGATTAATTTGATGAAAGTAAAGTAGATTTATTACCAAGATATGAATATAACGGACCAAAAAGCACACATTGCAAACCCATTTCCACCTCTGTGATATTCACGTTTAAAAACTCTTATTAGGCCAATAATCATTGTACCCAAGTAACTGGTTCTCCTCATGCTCCCCCTCTTCCTCTCCCCACCTCCCTTTGTAAAGCTGGTATAGAACTAATTCCGTGTTTTACCACCCGCCAAAGAAGAGCCAGCCGTTCTCCCAGCTGCAGCACAAAGCAGCCTCCAGTGGCCCATCCATCATTCAAATTTGTTCATTCATGAGTCGTGGGTGGATTTTTTTTTGCCAAAATATCAGGGAAGCATCAGATGTCCACAAGATATTTTCCTCATATAGTTTTGTTTTTTATTCATCAAGCTGAAAACGATATTACGTTAAAAGTGTGTTAAATATGACGTTATAAAGGAAATCCTTGAGCATTTGGTTACATTTGTTTCATAAAGTGTCTAGTGAGTGAAGGTTCATCACGTGTGTGCAGGAATGTATAACTCTCTAACTATGTATCGTCGATCAAAATGCATCGGAATGTACACACTTTAAATCTGATTAAAATCTTTTTTTTTTACAGCAATAAGATCCAACTGCAGAAACCGTCCCATTGACCTGGTCTTCGTCATAGACAGCTCTCGCAGTGTGCGCCCTGGTGAGTTTGAAAAGGCCAAAGAGTTCCTGCAGGACATGGTGGACAGCCTGGAGATCGGCCCGGGCGCCACGCAGGTTGGCCTCGTCAATTACGCCAGCACCGTGCACATCGAGTTTCTGCTGAAGACCTATTACGCCAAGTCCGCCCTGAAGCAGGCTCTGGCCCGCGTCGAGCCTCTCGCCTCGGGCACCATGACGGGCACGGCCATCAAGACGGCCATGGAGAAAGCTTTCACGGAGGAGGGGGGGGCCCGACCTAGCTCCGAAAACATTGCCAAAGTAGCCATCATAGTGACGGATGGGAGGCCCCAGGACAAGGTGGAGGACGTATCAGCTGCGGCCAGGGCCTCTGGGATTGAGATCTACGCGGTGGGTGTGGGCAGGGCCGACATGACGTCCCTCCGCCTCATGGCCAGCCTCCCGCACGACGACCACGTCTTTTATGTGGAGACCTATGGTGTCATTGAGAAGCTCACTTCCAAATTTAGGGAGACCTTGTGCGGTAAGGATGATGAGAACGGGAGTGCGGATATTCCATTTATTGGCGCAGTTGACGGGGAAGGAATAAATCATGACAATGACGATAAAGGAAACAACGGTATGTCCGGTCCGTCCTTTTAAATTCCAACCCTGTAATCATACGGGCAGCACCATAGACGCAATCTGCATTCTGAAGTCGCTGGTCTTTCTTTAGTCACAAGAACAAGGGCAAAGAAACCAGAGTGATTTGCCGCCACTTGTCCAACAAAGAGGTGTTGACAAGCTGTTGATGGTAGTTGATGCATACATCTTTAAACATGTCCAATAAGACATGTACATCCTCAACGAAGAGGAAACATCCTATGATAACTCTAACTGTTGAAAGCTAACACGATGCTGCCTGTAGTTTTCACGTGGCACGCGCTGCTCTCTGCTAAGCCCTTGCTTAGCTGGTCGGTTGGACTGAAAAATGTGGCTGAAAGGCTTCATAACAATATTAATAATAATAGCTCTAGGAATGACTTCTAGATTTCTAGAAATGTTTTCCACGTCACTATCAACAACGTGCAACAGTAATAACAGAGGGCTGCCTCGGTAGGTATTGTGTTTGCTTGGGATATTCCTTTGGAAAATGAAGCTGGGTGGTTATTCAGGCGTCTTGCATTGAAAAGTCAATGTAACATTGGAAAAGGCCATGTGACTACTTCTCTTCCTTTAATTTTTAAAACAACAAAATGAATGTACTATAACATCTAATGAAACCCAGAAATTAAGCTAACTAATCTGCATGTGGCTTTTTAGAATTACATAATTGAACAGTTCTTCCTGTGTACTTACTAACATAAATACAACACAAAATGATTTATTTCAATGGGCACAAGCCAATCAGACAATAGTGTTTCTTTTCAGGTTTGGATCCATGTGATCAGGGACACAATTGTCAACACATTTGTGTCAACAATGACTACTCGTACGACTGCAAGTGTCGCAAGGGCTATGTCTTGAATCCGGACAAGAAAACATGCTCCCGTAAGTATCGTTATCTTTGTTTTATCATTATTATTAGTAGTGTCAGTGTGACAAACCCCCATTGTGTGGTTTTCAACTCCTTAAATGACTAAAATGGTTAAACATGGTTTTATATTAATGAATTTGTGATTAAATATGCTAAAAGCCTTACAACAACAACAACAACAGATTTCTAACTTTTAAATTAGTTACTTTTGGTTGCCCCAAACAGATGGACACACACAACTCAGCACAAATTAAGTGAATAGGAAAAAGTGAGACCTGTGCTGATGAGAGGCACACATAGAAGTAAACGATGGCCACTTAGAGACAACCAGTAGATATTTGTTTGAACTTTGAGCTAAATTACTAGCTTGACTGAATATTACGTGTCAGTAGGTCAGATGCCCCAACTGCATATGAACCACGCATGCGGTCGCGACCCACAAGTTGTGAACCACTGTTTCATCGTTTGTCTCTTAAGCCTCCCCACTCCTGAAAAAGCCTAAAGTCTATTCTAATTCACTTGCAAGAAAAATATGGTGCATCTTATGTTTCTACTAAACCCCCCTCAAAAGCCAGACTAGGTTGTCTTATACTCAGTTTTAAGTTAATTTCAGTCCACTAGGACTTGGCTTGAGAACTGGAGGGTTGTTGGTTCTGTCTCCAATGTGGACTAATTAATGAGTGACCGATAGCTGGAGAGGTGCCAGTCCACATCCTGGCTGCTGCTGGTTTGTTCTTGAGCAAGGCCTCAAAGATGAGTAGTTAGCTCCCGTTTAAAGGCTGATGTGCACATGCATGAAGCGGAACTGACTGGGAATGTCTTTTCAGTTTCAGATACATGTGTCCGAGCACACGACTGCCAACATATCTGTGTCAACACTGATGACTCTTACATCTGCAAATGTCGCAAGGGATATGTGTTGAATTCAGACCAGAAAACATGCTCACGTAAGAACCCTCACTGTTAGATTTCATGTCCCACTCTTGGTGTAGCATTTCAGGTCTCCCAAAAAGTGTATTATGGCATTTTTAGACTGTTCAGAGTGTGAAGCTGTGTAGAAATGATGAAATGACATACTTGTGTCAGCAAGTATGTCATTGATTTATACATGCAAATGATGTGAGGGATATGTGTGCAATGCAGACCAGAAAACGTGCCAACGTAAGAACGCAAATATTTTCCATAGATTTGTGTTTTGCGTTTCTATCGGTTATTTGTAATGTGGACGTACATATGAATTGTAAAAATAATCATTGCCAAGCAAACGTTCCACACTATGTTCTACAATAAGGGCTTTGTGTCACGTGTGGCAGTTTTTTCATTTCAGGTTTGGATTCCTGTACCCAGGGACATGACTGCCAGCATATTTGTGTCAACACCGATGATTTATACATCTGCAAATGTCGTGAGGGATATGTGTTGAATGCAGACCAGAAAACATGCTCACATGAGAACATAGACTTTTCAGGTAGACTTCATGTGTTTTTTTAGGCACATGTATCCCATGATTCTCTGAAGCGACTGGAAATCTGAGGCTAATGAGGAGACTTTCTTCGCTGCCTCAGTACTTCAGAGACTCTGGAGACTGATTGATACAGAAAGAGGAGTGAAGTCAATTGCATAGAAAAAGTCTGAGGCTCCAACTGTCCAGAACTTCTCTCCTTGACTTATGTTATGATCAGTTATATTGAGCAATGTGGAAATCTGTCTTTTTTCAGGCTCTGATCTATGTGCCCGTGGACATGATTGCCAGCACATTTGTGAGGACAACGATGACTCTTACATCTGCAAGTGTCAAGAGGGATATAGGTTAAATGCCGACCAAAAAACATGCTCACGTAAGAACTTGGACATTTATTTACATTTGGTGTGTTTTAGGTCCAATTGGACATTCTTTGGACTATTAGGGTTTTGAAATATTGAGAGAATATTGTCCTACTGCAGTGGGAATGACTTTTTAGTCCCTTTTGTTTGGATACATGTGACCAGGGACGGGACTGTCAGCAAGGCTGATTCATATCTGTGACGTGATCCAGCAACACAAATATCCCACAAATAGGACGTGATGAGGCAGTTTCCCTTTTAGACACACAAGATATCTGTTTTTGCCAATATTATTTTATATTATTTAGGTTGGCGGGAATAAGAAAGAGAAATAGAGACTGGGAATGCTGAAATGTGTTGGTCACATGGCTAAGGCATCGGCTTCTTCTCAAGAGAGCTGTGACCGAAGGCTCTGCAAAAAGCTGAGGGGTTGTTGTTATGTCATAGGGACTGGAACTGAAATGTCGGGTTTTCTTTTCAGGTTCCGATGCTTGTGCCCAGGGACATGACTGTCAGCACATTTGCGTCACAAATGGGAACTCTTATATCTGCAGGTGTGGAGTAGGATACGTGTTGAACGTAGATCAGAAGACCTGCTCACGTAAGAAACGTCTTCCTTTAAACAAGACATTGGCACGGCACCTTGAGAATGTTTGAATAGTACATTACATTACATTACATTACATGTCATTTAGCTGACGCTTTTATCCAAAGCGACGTACAATAAGTGCATTCAACCATAGGGTACAAACTCAGGAGAACAAGAAACAAGAAAGTGCAATTTCCTCAAATAAGCGAATTTACAATTTGCTATAGATGAGTGACGTCACAAGTACAATTTAAGTGCTACAATTTGTTAGTCTTTAGTCGAGGTAGAGTCTGAAGAGGTGTGTCTTTAGTTTGCGGCGGAAGATGTGAAGGCTCTCTGCGGTCCTGATGTCTTCAGAGAGCGCGTTCCACCATTTCGGCGCAAGGACAGCGAAGAGTCGAGACCTAGTCGAGTGTTTTGCTCTCAGTGAGGGAGGGACGAGTAGTTTTGCAGATGCAGAGCGGAGAGTGCGGGTTGGGATGTAGGGTTTGACCATGTCCTGGATGTAAGCTGGACCCGATCCATTCACAGCATGGTACGTGAGCACCAGTGTCTTGAACTGGATGCGGGCGGCCACCGGTAGCCAGTGAAGAGAGCGGAGGAGTGGAGTAGTGTGGGAGTGTAATTGTATTGCGCTTTACACTAATAAATATCAAGATAGATGTGTGCATATTTCTTTCCAGGTTCAATTACATGTGCTCAGGGACATGACTGCCAGCAGATCTGTATCAACAACGGTCACTCATTCAACTGCAAGTGTCAAGTGGGATATGTGTTGAATGCAGACCAGAAGACATGTTCACGTAAGGACTTAGAGTTTTTCCCCAACATGCATAATGTTTCCCCCCGTGTCTAATCAGTTCCAGCCTCAGTTTCAACCCTCTCACATTATTGCTTTGTGAGCTGCGTGGTAGAAATAGTGTTGAGCTTAGCCCAACTAAGGAAATGTGCCAGACTGACAATGGTTTGGTGTCCTCAAAGAAACTACGAGCAACCAAGTTTTGACAGCGGACCTGGGGCTCTTTGAATACTCTTTCCCTATAAAACTCAAAGAGGCTTCATGACCCGGTGATGGTCTTGACGAGAGCCATTCTAAACTTCGTAGAAAGATTTAAGGTGAGAGTAACATGTTTCCAATTGTGATCTGTTATGATGTTTATATCATGTTACTATCATGCTATATTTCACCCAGGCTTTGTACTTGTAAAGAGTATATACTTGACTAATTTCCCAAAGCAAAGTAGTAGCAAAATTGACTTTGGCCTCACTGGCAGCATGGAAAGTTCCGAAGCCTACATTAAGCAGCTGAAAAGATCATCTGGATGGATTATGGTCTGTTGATATTCTGGCTCAAAATAAAATACAGTAAGGTTTAGGCTGCGCAGCAAACATAAGCAAACAACAGGATATATTGTAAGTAGAAAAACAGGTCATTTACGTAACTTCTGTACTGTTATATATACTCGTGCAAAATCTCTCTCTTACGTGTTCTCCCATGTGGATGCACTGCTTATGGAATTGATAGGGGACTTTGGATATCATTTAATTACAGTGCATAATGACCTGAATAGTTATCATACCTTTCATGTCTACCCTTTTGCCTTCTTTAGCTTTGGATAAGTCCGCTGTTGACAGCAACCAAAGCCACTGTCCAACGACGAGCAAAACCTCCACTGGTCCAGCCGTTAACAGCACAGTTTGTAGGACTGTGTGCTGTGAGGCTGGCTTCAGGAAAGAGAGACTGCACTGGAAGTTGCAGTGCTGCACAGTTATTCGTTGTAATTGATTTGCTTGTTGAGTATTGTGATTTTTCAGTAATTTATTTTGTATTTATAGGTGAGTATATTGTTCAAATGGTTATTAACATGCGTCCTCTGTAATGACTAAACTCAGTAACTGAATACTCTCGGGTTGTGATTCACTACTATATTTCCTAATCTCACTGATGAAAGTAAAAATCATGTTTTGACCAAAATCTACTACAGTGTTCAATCAATATCCATTTTGCTTAGGTATCCACTTTTAATAACAACTCGATCCTGTCTGATTTCGTCAGCTCCAAAATGTTCCCATATTGAAACCGGCATGGAGGAATTGAAGATGAGCTGTTGAGCCTAATGGATGATTAAAAAGAGGCTGTGCCAAACGTGGTGAAACACCATCACATCTTCTCCTTCTTGTTGTTTTTTCATCCTTTCAGAGGAATTGAGAAGTGAAATAACTCAAGACGCCTGCATGTGTGAAGCCCAGATTGTGTTCCAGAAAAAGGTGCAGTATGCCATTCAGGAGCTGGGCAGAAAAAATATCCTTTTGACTACGAGAAAGAAGGGTCGGTGGTTTCAATTTGTTTTCATTAAAGAGAAATATTTGGTTTGTTCCTCTAAAAATGCTAGATACCGAGCTCTCGCTACAATGATCTTGTTTCATTAGTACCTTTAATACAAATTTGTTTAATCTGAATCCACAATTTTGAATCATGCTCCAATGTGATGATGGACAGTCTGATGATGAGCATTTCTATTTTAATACATTTGGATTCCTTGACAGCCCATGTTCACTTGATGACCTTTCAGACAAAGTGAGCCTGATTGAGGAGCAACAGCACAATTAAGGACAGCAATGAAGACATGTTCATGACTTGCATCTTTTGACTGAACCCTTCAGTAAGAATGTCTAAGATTCGGCGTGCTATTGATCTCTCATGCAGTATACTGATTTTGTGAATATTTTATATGATAAACAAGCATTTTCATCCGCAACACCGTATATTATTTCTTTTCGGATAGTCGGATAAAACTGATGTCGTTGTTGACATACCGCACCTGTATATTTGTATGGGATGATCCATTTCTACTTAGCAGTGTGAGCCATTGAGTATGAACACAAAATACGGAATATAATTAGGGAATTTATGGAATAGAGTCCCCACTTCACGATAAACATGTTAAAAGCAAACTTTCAGCGATGTTGATGTTTTTCGTAGGAAACAGTTCCTTGTTGTGATTGTCGAACACAATGCCTCCATCCATAAGCATAACACAACAACTAATCTCTTCTACAACCAGAGCATTGTACTCTAATTGGCATATAGCTTTGTTACATCACAGTGAATTACTGTAATCCCATTCTTTCATACATGCAGTTTTGTTAGCAGCAGACAGGTAGGCCTACAGTGGTTTAAGTGGGAGAAGGAAAACAATGTATTTATTGGATGGCATCAATACTTTGCACACTTGGCAAGTGTTGTACCAAAGGATCTGGCAGGAGTCACAGCAATGAAATGCATATTTTCAAGATTTTAATTTAAGTCAAGATCCACCAGGTTCTTGAATTCAGTTAAAACAACAACATTTTACCGGACAGCATTTACACTATACAATACAGTACTGTTCTGCTTTCTTATAACACATGTGAAACCGATTGAAAAGAGTATTTGTGGTGCACCGATCTTTGTGTAGACTGATATTATTGTTTATCTTATGTTTGTATTTGTCTGGTTATTTTCTATTGGGTGTATAGTTGCAAATGGAAAATAAATATTCTCAAAATGGTCCAATCTGTCTTGTTTTGTTGCATAAAGCCCTTTTAAAATAAACAAAATCATGATGTGGCTTTTATCATTTCATAAATGAAGATTGAGAGGAATGATACTTTCAATTGACAGACGTTTTAAATATATATATTTTTTCTGGTTGAATTGCTGGTTTAAATATGCATTAAATGATGTAGAATTGCTGTATGTAGGCCTATGCTGAGATCTACAGTACGTTAGAGGACTTCGCATCACTGCATAGCTACTCAAAGTAGGATTAGTCAGAAAATCCCAAATAATAAAGAAATTAGCGGCTCACGAGTAATGCAGCCGCAGGGACAGGACGGCCCTTCACGTCACTAGAAAGGGAACATGAAAACTACAACGACCACAAAGACCTTAATCCCACTTCCGGTTTACGGTTACCACGGGAGACGGGGGAAAGCTACAACGGCTGAGACCTAAACCATAACCAGTCATTCAACATAAGCAACGAAACGTCGAACTGGAGCATTTTCCCTAACACGTGTACCAACTATGTCAAGCTCTCTACATTCACAACATGCCGCCTTTGGCACCAACAGTTAGGTGTGATAACGTTTAACGTTAGTTAACCGATCACTAGCGAAGCTAACGCGGTACGCTAACGTTACCCGGGCTCGTTTGTAAAAGTTAGCTCACTTCGGCTCTCCGGTTTGCGATCCACGTCTGCTCAGATTCCTTGTGGGTGAAGTGACGTTAGTTCAGTGTTACTTACAGTTGCAGCTCATGTCGGATTGGTAGAGGAGCGTTACGTTAGCGACAGCGCCATGTTCATCTATCTCAGCAAGAAGGTGAGTCCGCTAGCTATCAACACGTTAACACATATTCCAGTGTTTGCTAACAACGTCACTGTCTGCTGTTTCACAGATTGCTATTCCCAACAATATCCATCTGAAATGTGTCTCGTGGAACAAAGACCAAGGCTTCATTGCCTGCGGGGGAGACGATGGTCTCCTCAAGGTGCTAAAGCTTGAAACTCAGACAGGTAAGTTCTGCTCCCATCTCTTCCATCTCCTCTACCTCGTCTTCTTTGACGAGGTGAGAAACAGTAGTATGACCGGCCAGATAATTATTTACATATAGAATAAAATTGGTCAGCTAAAGACAACATGTATGTAATTATATAGATGTATATTTATTTTCTCCCTAATAAAAAATGCTGAATACAGTGAAAATGTATTTGTTTTAGTCGATGCCCTTATGTCATACCCATATGATTTAGAACGGCTCTTACAGCGACAGAAACAGTCTGAAACTTTCAGAATCTCTTTGGCTCTGTTCTGGTGCCTCAATGTCCATTCACTGTAAGTACAAATCGTACCACTTCGTCTGTTAGACGTATCCACTGCGATTATGTTATTATGTTGCTAAACAGACAGAGACCACCAACAGTTAAGTGGAGGAAACAATGAACACTCTGTCCAGGTTTTACCTACAAACTACTGCTCTAACAGTTTCCTCACTGGACGTGATTTTCTGAATTCAATCTGTTTTTCTGCTTTATCAACAGATGATGCCAAACTTAAAGGTCTTGCTGCACCCAGTAACCTTTCAATGAACCAGACTCTAGAGGGACACAGTGGTAAGTCAAATGCAGCTGTTACTAAATCCTTGTACTCAGTAACAGCAGCGCCCATATTTACTCACCATTACTACTACACTTGCAGGCGCAGTACAAGTGGTCACGTGGAACGAGCAATATGAAAAGCTGACAACCAGCGACCAGAATGGACTCATCATCGTGTGGATGCTCTACAAAGGTGTTTAATACCTTCACATCCAAAATGCCATTTGTCTGTTGATGAATTTGGCTTTTACAGTTGTCTGTCTTCTCCCCTTTGTGAAGGTGCATGGTACGAGGAGATGATCAACAATAGGAACAAGTCTGTGGTGAGGAGCATGAGTTGGAACGCTGGCGGTCAGAAGATCTGCATTGTGTATGAAGATGGAGCGGTCATTGTTGGATCTGTAGATGGTAGATAACAGATTTACAGTGTTTGTGGGATTCATTAACCATATTTAGCATAAAGGATTGCTTTATTCACATACTGACCTAACCTTTGTGTGTGTGTGTGTGTGTGTGTGTGTGTGTGTGTGTGTGTGTGTGTGTGTGTGTGTGTGTGTGTGTGTGTGTGTGTGTGTGTGTAGGGAACCGGATTTGGGGGAAGGAGCTAAAGGGAAATCAGCTGGCACATGTGGCGTGGTCGCCAGAAAGCAAGATTCTCCTCTTCGGCATGGCTAACGGAGAAGTACACATCTATGACAATCAAGGAAACTTCATAGTGAGTGCATAATGTTAACTAAAAGAGAAATGTCCTTTTAGCATGTACCCATGTGGAACTAGCACATTTAGGAAGAATCTATTAGAGGGCATATTGTTGCCAAATCATTCGCCCCATGTAGGTTTGAAATGGTGCTGTATTTTACTATCCGGTTAATGTGAATTTTTGTAAAGTACGACAGAGTGTCACACTTGAGAAAAAAATGTGTCCTGGTGATATGAGAAAAACAGATAATTTGATGTTGTGTTTCAGATGAAAATGACCATCAGCTGTCTCACCAATGTGAATGGCGCTATCAGTATCGCAGGTATCCACTGGTATGCAGGAACTGGGGGTTACGTCGAACCAGACTGTCCTTGTCTTGCCATCTGTTTTGACAATGGCCGATGCCAAGTCATGCGCTACGAGAATGATGAAAGTAAGAAACTTCAAAGACTACTGTGTATTCTCCAGCTTCCACTTGCATGAAATGTTTTCCAATGATGCTGCTGAGCTGTGCTGCTGCGCTTTTCTTCAGACCCGGTGTGTATCGACACTCTTATGAATGTGGTCAGTATCCAGTGGAATCATTGTGGCAGTGCTCTGGCGGTAGCAGGTTCCCTCAGGTCCTCAAATCTGGAGAAAGAGGTCAATGTGGTGCAGTTCTACACACCGTTTGGAGAGGTGAGGGTGAAGATTATGTTACCCTAGACGTTGTTTTGTGCAAAAAGGTGAGGCATACAGCGCCATGTGGTGTTTTGGTATCAAATATAGGACCAGGAAGAAGAATGTACATGGAATCGACTGACTTGTTAATGAATACAATGTAGATTGTGATTTGTTTCATTTGCAGCTAACTGAATCTCCTCCTATGCGTCAAGCGTGTAGGATGTCTATTGTGCATGAAGCGAAAATGCGAATGGCCCCAGCTAGAGCCATCATTTGGTTTGTCCGTCCTGGGCTGCTGTAGAAGCATGCCGGGGCAACATGGTGTTTTCCTGTCTAAAGCGAAGGATTCTTAAGTGAATCATACCCATTAATATTCTATTATATTTCTGCTAGTGCGTAATCGCTACAGAGCCTGGTACATTGCAGATCTCTCTGTTGTGATGATCTACATGGTTGTGGCAGTTGAAAAAAGTAATCGAAAGCCAATTTTTGAGTCTTTGATATTGATTAGAAATCAACCCTTGCATGCCCGTGTCCCCAGTGGCTCTGTACTGTAGATACTGATCTCTGGGCAAGAACCCTAACCCTAATTGCTCCCCCGGCAAAAATGTAAAAAGCGATGGGTTATAAATGCAATGTTAGTCGCTTTGGATAAAAGCATCAGCTAAATGACCTGTAATGTAATGTAATGTACTGTAGATACTGTATGGCATGAGACAGGACTCATTTGAGATTTTGCATTTGTCTTGTTTCCGCAGCATCTGAGAACTCTTAAAGTGCCTGGAAAGCAGATGACAGGAGTCGGCTGGGAGGGAGGAGGGCTGCGTATCGGCCTCGCCGTGGACTCCTACATCTACTTTGCCAACATAAGACCAGACTACAAGGTAACATATTAATACATATTAATTAATGAACCTAAAGTAAACGTGGCTATTTGGGGGAACATAATTGTACTTCACTCCCAGGTAACTATATTTTGACCAAAGGGCTATATGAAGAAATCTGTATTTTGTTTGATCATATACATTCCCAGAGTTCACACCCCCACACGTAAGCTGCTCCTGTGTGTCTCCTCTTAGTGGGGCTACTGCTGCAGCACAGTAGTGTACGCATACACAAAACCGGAGCGACAGGAGTACTGCGTGGTATTCTGGGACACCAAAAACAACGAGAAGTTTGTCAAATATGTCAAAAGCTTGATGTCCATCACCACCTCAGGGGACTTCTGCATCTTAGCCAGCAAAGCAGATGACACTCAGCCTCAGGTACAGGCATGTCCGTCTTGTATGTACTAACATGGCAGCAGTGAGTGCTTATAGTCACGTGACTGGTGACTATAAGCATTGCAGGTTGACGTGATGCGTGCTGTGTGACTCAGAGCAAGTTATCCACATGTATTCTGTTTTTTTACACACAATGTCTTGCCTCCGTTTTTTTCTTCATTGCCACACACGAGGATGCTGAGTCAGAGTCTGGCAGTCATGCAAGGGTAATGTACAATTTAGGAGTGCACACTCAAAATTACCAGTATTTGCTTTGATAAACAATGTGCTCTAATCACATGACCTGCAGAATAACTTTACACTGCTTTTAATTTTTTAGTATGTCCTGATTCTGTGCAACTCCATTGGGACTCCCCTGGACTCCAAATACATTGAGATTGGTGAGTTCATACTACATAAAAATATAACTTTTCCTACACAAACAATGCATGTAGGCCAGCATTCAGGGAGCACTCAGAGCGGAGCTGTGTGTAACAGTGGGCTCAGTCTTAATATACCATACGCGCAGTATTTCTCCAAGCCAATGTGAGATCGACATTGCACCCCCTTGTATATGGCCTTCTGCCACCTGCTGCCCACAGGTACATCTTGCATATGCCCACAGCACCCTATAGTCAACAGACAGTGTCTTTATACCTCACAAATGTTCAGCATTTTGTCTCTGCAGGACGTGTCCGAATGTTTTTCCGAGCTCAGGCCTCTGGCTAAGACAGTTCAAATGCTGCACATCTGAGAGGCTTAGTAGGGCAAAGTGGGTTTCAGGT